TGTGCACACCGGTTGTTGAGCACACGAAATGCTACTTGTGGATAACGACACGATGCACATAACCAAGCCTATGTAAGAGTTTGTACGCTCTCCAAACACCCGTATGTATTGTAGTACCTGGCTGCAGCCAGTGTTACTGTTGCTTTTATTATCCAGTGCGCGATAATTGTCATAATTTGCCTTAGTTAAGAATTATATATGGGGTTTTCCATCACGACCTGACATCAGCTCTAATGCCAGAAATTTATTTAGCCAAATGGATGAAAGGCTTTCGTGCCCAAACCCGAGATCTGTTATCTTATACACGATTGATTCGTCCACAAATAATAGTCTCTCCGTTTTATTTGTTATAGTCGCTCAATTATCACGTTTTGTACAAAATTCCTTGTGAACCGATCGTACGTTAGCATTAGGCACTAAAGTGTGCTCCGTGACCTTAAAATCTCTCAAACGCTTCTGATTGGCTCGTCCATAAATTAGAGTCTCGCCAGTTGTTTAAAAACTACATATAAATTACCTTCAATTCATTACGTTTCAATAATTGGTTACTGGGTATCTGATCACTTTAAAAAATCCATTTTAATGTTGTAAACATGACTTATAAATAAATAACTATCTCCTAGATAACTTAAATTCTAGACGAAACTTATCAAAGTGGTGATTACATATAAAGCTTAACTAGATAACCCACGTAATAGGCTTCATTGTAAAATCTTTAAATAAATGGTTTGGAATGAGAAATATGAGAGAGAAAAAAAATGCAATAGTTAATCAATAAGGTTGATAGAGATTACATACATAACTGCTAACTCCATTAATGGGAGTAATGAATTTGGTATAAATAACAAAAAGAAGTCTATTTGAAAATGATATTGATCATAATCTATATTCATCTGGATAAATTTAAAGTATAGAAATCATCAAGAAAAGAGTTTCAACTCTTCAACCACTGACTAACATAATTATCAAAATATGTTAATAATACAGGTCTATTAGTACATAATCACTGCTTTAGAACAAACTAACTAACTTATATTCTTTTCTCTACCCCTTATTTTTGTCACAGAATTTCGGTTAATGACAAAACTATCTGAATGATTTATCTGCTCATAATTTAGTTTATAATTATCATAAATTTACTATATATTAAGGTGGAAATATAATTTATGGATGAGTTTTGAGTGACACTACTGTAACCTTGAGAATGTCCACCTACTAACTAGGATTCAATGAGTGTTATAAAGTAGTGTGTGGAATTAGAATGATGATTTACAGTTGATAGTTAGGTTTAGGAACCAGATTTAAAGTTTTCATTACGAATTGAAGTCAGCTAAAATGTTAAAACGCTATTTAGACAAATTAATAAACGAATTTCGCATTAAAATCTAAGATCTGTTTCCTCATATCTGATTGGTTCGTCTATAAGTTATGGTCTCGTGTATAGTAAACTTATTGTACATAAAATGTATGACGGAAGTATATGGTTAGAGTTATTATTTCATTGTAATAACTGATAATTTTCATTTTAGATTGACAAAAGTGATATTATCAGAAGGGGTTTGTGGAGATTTTATTAATTTCAATAGTTGAAATCATAAATCAATTGTAGCTAGACCACCATGAAAAACCTGGAAGCACTGGACGGCAGTTTCGTCCTATTATGGAACTCCTCGGCAGTGCACATCCACAATCCCGCACCCCTCGAGATTCGAACCCAGGACCTATCAGTCTCGCGCCTAGCTTCAACTGACACATGATTTCAATCTGTGACATTTCTAAAATTTCCACAAACACCTTCTGATAATAATCATCTGCTCATTAGTGACTGAATTCAAGAGATAATCCTGGAGTTCTAGTGAGAAGCCGTTACCAGTGGAGTTCAACCAGGTCTGTTGTGAGATATCAACTCACTGATGACAATGGTGTACGGTGGCGCAACTTCGTAGATTGGTTGAAGTTAGACATTAACACCGTTGGATGCCAGCTCAGTGGTCTAGTTGGTTAAGTGCCTGGCGCCAGACTGATAGGTCCTGGGTTCAAATCTCGCGGGGGGCGGGATCGTGGGTGCGCACTGTCGAGGAGCCCCATACTAGAACGAAACGGCCGTCCAGTGCCTCCAGGTTTTTCATGGTGTTTTAGCTTCAATTGACTCATGATTTCAATCTGTGAAAATTGATATTAGTCAATTGTTATGCAATTTATTGATATTGTAGTCAACGTAAATACCAATAGGAAAAACCAAATGTCTTTTAACTCAAAAATTACAGAACGTCTTAGTAAAATCTTAGAATCATATAGTAAATATTTCATGTGTAAAATTTTAATCAGTCGTCTCAGACTTCATTGTTCCTTTGTTTCCACAGTAATCAATTACTGTTCTTGTTCTCTTCTCTTCAATATTCTTTACCTTCTACCATCAGGCATTTCACTTACGATTGATGATACATTCTACTTATATCTGTCGAAATTAATAGTACACAATACAGTACAATCTACGGTAGAATTAAATTTTTGGCATATTATTAAATATTTATTTAAATGTATAACATATACTTACCTTACTACAAATGCTACTAAAGCGAAAAATACAACTATAGCATCAAGAATATTCCATGTATCACGAAAGTATGAACCAGGATGTAATACAACACCTAGATCAATCACCTGAAAATCGATAACATCACAGAATATGATATGATATGAATTAAATCGTTTGGAAAATTCATTTCTCAAAACTTTGGACTACATTAATAGATACGTGATCTGATTTGACAATTAATTTTAACATGTGTTAATTGCATATATTTAACCCTAGATTTCTTTTAAACACTTATCGCGTATGGCTTAACCAACGTTACTAATGATGAAGGTTGGTATATGGTGCTACGTAATGAAAATTTTACCGATGAGACTAAAAATTTACTTATTGATATGAATGGGTTATATGACGGATACCTAATCCCACCTCTTTGACTAGGCGGTAAAGGTTGAAGAGAATAAACGAAGATATGGAACCAATTCATAACATTGTTTCCTGAAGTAATGTATTTTAAGCGAACACACTATTCTAAAATAGTTAAAATTAAGGAAAATGTGGGACATTTGTTAAGTAAATGAAAATTCAATAAATGAAATACAAAATGACTTGATTTTCATAACTGTCACTACCACATATTTTTTTCAATGACTCATTAATTTGATCTTCTCCGCTTAAACTTTAAACATCATTTACTAATTTTGCAAACCCTTACAATATTCTAATATTCCGTGTTGTTTTCTTAATGACCGAACATGATAATGATTCTTAAGTCTAAAAACAACATTGGATAATTTAATAGTTGAATTCATGAGTCAATTAAAGCTTGACCACCAAGGAAAACCTGGAAGCAATGGATAGCCCTCTCGTCCTAGTATGGGATTACTCAACTGTTCGCATCCACGATCCCACCCGCATGATCTATAAGTCTCGCGCACGAACGCTTATCCTCTAGACCACTGATCAGGTAGGCATCCAATAGTGTTAATGTCTTCAAACAATCCATGAACTATTAAATTACTAAAATCTCCACGAAACCAACTACTGATAACATTCAATAAGTTCAGTTTGACACCAATTTTTATATCTTATAATGATGCCTTGATGAGCTTTTGTTGCTGGAAATTTCTAAACTTATTAAACAAACGATACAATGCCGAAGTGTTTATAATTATTATTAATAATAAGATAGATTACTTTAATATATGTATGCGTAACTGTTTACTTCATAGAAAAATATTATATGATTGTAAGACCTTTTAAATACTGAGATGATGTTAAGTTGACTAAACATATTGTTAGATGCCGGCTCAGTGGTCTGGTTGGTTAGGCGCCTGGCTCAAGACTGATAGATCCCAGGTTTGAATCCCGCAAGGCGGGGTCGTGGATGCGCGCTGCTGAGGAGTCCCACAATAGGACGAAACGGCTATCCAGTGCTTCCAGGTTTTCCATGGTGGTCTAGTTTCAATCGACTCGTGATCGCAACTGTTGAAATTACTACGATCTCCACAAAATCCCTTCCGATGTTGTTATATGTTTATGTAATTTATTGTATTAAATAAAATCTCTGTACATGTTCAAATGTGAACTGACTAGATTTTGGATTCTGAAGTGAATCAATTTCAAAATAAAAGAACTCTGCTTTTTTAATTTCACTATAGTTTTCATCAAGAATTAGCATTGACTAGAGAATAATTGTAAACATTAAGTCATTGAACACATTTTCTTTTTAATTTACTTATCCTGATTAGATTAGTTTCTTAGTCTGATAACAAGTCTAGATTCTATATTTGCCAAATGACCGAAATAATACTCCGACTCAGTAGATTATTAGTTTCATGTTCTATAAGATATCTGACTGTCACAAAGAAAAGTTAATCAGTGAAAAGCATCAAAATGATGTGAGACAAGTAGTCATTGCTTTTTCTAGGTTGTCAGTTATAACCCGACAACATTTTATCGTTCATGTAACCTATTCCTTATTTAGATGAACGAATGAATCTTTATAAATCGCTTGAATGACATATCACAAGTATTTACATATAACTTTTATTTGGCAGACTAATTGATAAATATAATAAAATGCTTTTTAATATCAGTATAGGGATTTGTGGTGCTCACTCATGACTAGATTCAAAATGCAACTCCTGTAGTTCTGTTAAGAATTCGTGACCAGTAGAGACAGATATCCACCTCAGGCAATAGATGATGGGTTGCACAAGATCATAAATGGATTGATGTTTAACAAAAACACCGTTGAATGCCAGCCCATAGTTTATAGGTTAAACACTCACGTATAAACCCGAAAGTCCTGATTTCGAGTACCGCGTGTGGGATCGTAGATGCACATTGTTGAGTAGTCCCACACTAGGACGAATTGGCTATCCAGTGCCTCCAAGTTTTTAATGGTGGCCCAGTTTAGAATGACTCGTGATTTCAGCTTTTTAATTTATTTTTTTGTTTTAGCTTTTCAACCTCTATATTAAAACCAACATTTGATTCAACTTACTTTTAAAATTAATTCAATTGTGAATACACCAGTAAATGCGTAATCAAAGTGTTCTAATATTGTATTACGTTTTGACTGTTCAGAGATTGGATCTTCAGCGGCTAAAGCAATACTACTTGCACAAATTACAATCATGATAAATAAATCAAAATAGCGTAAATTGACTACGAAATGACAAAATCGTCGTATTCTATAATGAAGGCAAAAGTGAAAGTACGATAAATAAAAAAATTAAAAACCAATCAGACGAAAACTAAAGCGAAAATAAATTTTTAATTGAAATCGTTGTAGAAAAAAAACCTGTTACATGTTGAATACGTCGAAGAATATTTCCATAGGTTGGTAATTCTTTGTTACTGATCGTTAATTCAACATTCGATTCTTAAGTAAATTTCTGTAGATATGTATTTTAGTGTAGTTCCGATGGTATGTGATAGTGAAATTCGGGACTCATGAGTCTATTGTTCTAAATATCAATAATACAGAAATGTAAATTCTTACAAATGATATTCAGGCTATTGAACAAGTTGGTGGCTATCTGAATTCCATAGCCTAGTGAATAACGCGTAGCTTTTTGCACAGATAGTTAATGAGTTTGAATCTCATTGTAAACATAATCACTAAGATGCAAGTGTATCCAAATCATGATTCCTAAATAGGATGAAATCCAATTCTTGGTGGTTGGTGGTTGGATAATTGATTTGATGTCACAAATTATTACAATGAGTGACGTAGTTTCTAATCTGTCAAAGAGAATCAATTTTTTTACGATTACAAATAGGCTTTTTGAGTGGCATTTGACACAAAACATATGTCTATGACTTGCTATAGATTACTTTCAATCGTTTAATATCTGAATAAAATCGGCTGTAATGCTTAATCACTTAGACTAATAGCTACATCACAACATGATCTTAGTGATCCAATGAGAATGAAAGACTGAATAAACATGACATTGGCTATTGATCAACCAATATAAATAATTAACTTTAACGGTGCCAGTCAAATTATTAGACAATATTGGCAAACCGGAGAGATGCCGCGTTTTCGGAAGCAGTAGCAATAAAAAAGTCTCAAAAATGATTTATGTATCTAGAAAGAGACAATAATCAACTTATCACTACATTGATGAATTTTTATTTGTTTAATTATTTGTCATTGTCGTTATTGTGATTGCTTTATTAGTATCTACTTTGTTATATTGTCTTCGTTAAACTAATTCTATTTTATGTGTACCAAAATCAACCTTTAATTCATCGGTTTCCATTCACGTGACTCTCTTAATTTGTAGTGTCAGTTATTATGGCAAGCCCATATACCTTTATTCTAACTTCCGGACATCCTATTTTATTCATTTTACTTGAGCCATATATTGACCTTGTCAATTATTCGCTTGTCAGTCTTGACTGTTTTTTTTATATGAGCGTATATGAGTGTACACTTCATGTCCCATGATTCATTGTATGTCTGTAGCTTATTTTGTTTGACTATAAATACTGAGTAACGCTTAATTAAAATGGAGTTGGCTTCCCAGCCATCTTCCAGTACGTGTCAAAATTGCTTTGTTATGGCTCTCGCTCGCTTAGCATGCGAACATGCATCCTCATTGGTAATCCCGACGTGAGAACGGGAAGCGAATTTTGGCGAAATAATCAAATTCCAAAAATCCGACTACCTTCATCTCAATTTGGATTATCAAATGAACTATAATTGCAACTGTGGATTTATATTATTATTTTAATTACACTTACATTATTTCGCAAACATTATTAAACGTGACGATTATAATCATAATAAATAACAATTATCCATAAACAATTGATATATTGGTGCAATTTAGTAAGTCTGTTCCATTTTATAAATTGTGCCATTTTTTTATTATCATTGTTTTTGCCCGTCTATTCTTCCTTGTGACTGTTAAATTATTTTCGTGTGCTACTTAATTTTTATAAGCATGTCTTATGAAAACACAGTTTCAAGCGTACAGCAAGCCTCGTCCGTGAGGTCTCTTAACCTCCCTGCCCCTTCTTTTAAAATCACAGACCCAAAACTTTGGTTTATAAGACTTGAAAATTATTTTCTCGCTAACCGCATTCTTTTGCAAAAGGATAAGTTCGGCCTGACAAGCACACTACTCCCAGACGAAGTAGCTGACAGCGTTCGAGAGGCACTAGCAAAACCAGACACAGAAAAACCATACGACGTGCTAAAAGAGGCAGTAATTAAAAATCTCTCTCTCAGTGACCAACAAGCCGTCGAACAACTCCTTAATCAAGTACAAATTGGAGATAGAACCCCATCACAGCTAAAAAATTATATGAAAAGTCTACTTGGCGATAGACACATTGACAATAATCTCTTTTATCAACTGTGGCTCCGCCGACTCCCGGCAAAAATACAGCAGATACTAGCTGTGGGAGATACGGCTGCTGATTTAGACAATATAGCAAAGATAGCCGATAGAATATACGAAAGAAGCAAGCAAGCAAGCCCTCCACTACACAACGTGACGGTAGACGATAGACTTGATACTCTACAGAAGGAAATAAATGTTTTATGCCGCAAACTCACAGAATTAACGCAGAGAGAAAAGCCACGAAGGTCATCGCGAGATCGCTCGCGTAAAAGGACCCGGTCAACTTCTAGACGACGCACAACTCCCGCGATATGTTGGTATCACCAAATGTTCGGCTACAGGGCTAGAAAGTGCCTACAACCTTGTGGGTTTAACAGGACTGGTAACCGATACCCACGAGTATCAATGGCAACGGCATCAACACACATAATGCCTGAAAATAGTCGCCTCTTTTATATACAAGACCGAACCACTGGCGCACAATTCTTAGTTGACACTGGAGCGGAAATTAGCGTAGTACCTCCATTTAACGAGGAAAGAAAAAACATTAATCCGTCATTAGTGCTAAGAGCAGCAAACAAATCAGATATTAAGACATATGGCAAACGGAAATTGTCCCTAGATTTTGGACGTGGCGCTTCATACCGCTGGAACTTTGTCATAGCAGACGTATCGATGCCCATAATAGGCATAGATTTCTTATGTAACTTTGACCTGCTAGTAGACTCTAGACGACACAGACTTATAAACGGCAGTCAAACCACTTCGATAAGAGGAATACTTACGGAAGCCGTTTCAATGAACCTTGTGATAGATAAAAGTCGTGGTGATCCATATAAATTGTTGTTAAGGGAGTTCCCTGAACTCGTAAAAGTAACATACAATAAAGCGGATCTCAAACATTCTATTCAGCATCACATCGTAACGAATGGTCCACCAATCAATGCAAGACCAAGAAGGTTAGATCCCAAAAGACTAGCCATCGCAAAACAGGAATTCGACAAGCTAATGAGGCTAGGCATTATAAGGCCATCGAGCAGCCCGTGGGCATCCCCGCTACATATGGCCCCGAAAAAGAATGGAGAGGTTAGGCCATGTGGAGATTACAGAGCACTGAACAAACAAACCGTAGCTGACAGATACCCTATACCGCACATCCATGATTTCACCTACAGTATTGAGGGCACTACTATCTTCTCGAAGATCGACTTAGTCAGAGCATACTACCACATCCCTGTTGCCCCACAAGACATACCGAAGACAGCAGTAACAACCCCATTTGGGCTATATGAATTCCTGCGTATGCCTTTTGGACTGACTAACGCGGCACAAACCTTTCAACGATTTATCGACCAGGTCATTAGAGGTTTACCTGAAGTATACGCGTATATCGACGACTTATTAGTAGCTAGCACCACTAAAGATGAGCATATACAACAACTACGGCAATTATTTATACGACTCAGAGAACATGGTATTTCTATAAATATTGAGAAGTGTGAATTCGGAAAGGAATCTTTACAGTTCCTAGGTCACAATATAACTTCTCAAGGCATCACACCAATAGCAACAGAAGTCGACGCCATTAGGAATTATCCCCTACCCGACTCATGGAAAAAGTTACGCCGATTTCTCGGGTTAATAAATTATTACAGACGATTTATCCCGAATTGTGCGTCAATATTGCAACCACTAACAGATGCATTACGCGGAAACGCACGGACATTCCAATTATCACCAGACGCGATTCAAGCATTCGAGAACGCTAAAAAAGCACTAAGTAAAGAAGTGACACTAACTAGACGAAAGAGCGAAACACCGTTAGCTATCATGACGGATGCATCAGACGTAGCGGTAGGAGCCGTTTTACAACAATTAGTAAATGGCATATGGGAACCGCTCTCATTTTTTTCGAAAAGACTGAATCCGACACAAACAAGATATAGTACTTTCGGAAGAGAACTCCTAGCGATTTACTTGGCAATAAAACATTTCCGACATATGATTGAGGGTACCATTTTCACAGTATATACAGACCATAAACCCCTCACAAAAGCATTGAACGCCAAACAGGACAACTACTCGCCGAGGGAAATCCGACAATTAGAATTTATTTCCCAATTCACGTCCAACATACAGTATATCAAAGGTAACAGTAACGAAGTGGCAGACGCGTTATCCAGAACGATGGTCAACGCTCTCATCCAGTCTGAAATCGATTATCACAAGTTAGCAGCACTACAAAATATCGACGTCGAGTTAAACAGACTAAAGTCTGCCAATACAACCTCGTTAGTTCTCAAAGAAACTCCATTGGAAGAAGTAAGCATCACCTGCGATATTTCTACAGGTCAACCAAGACCATTTATTCCAAAGCCGCTAAGGCGAAACATTTTCGAAGCTATGCATAATATTTCGCATCCCGGAATAAAGGCCACCATCAAACTAATTAGTGAACGTTTCGTATGGCCAAGTATGAATCGGGATATTCGTAATTGGACGCAAGCGTGTATAAAATGTCAGAGAGTTAAGATACATCGCCACACCAGTTCCGCAGTAGGTCATTTCCGTCATCCCGATAACAGATTCGAGCACGTACATATCGATATTATAGGACCACTGCCGGTTTCGAATGGTTTCAGTTACATTTTCACTTGCATTGATAGATTCACACGATGGCCTGTAGCTGTGCCTATAAAAGATATTACAGCCGAAACTATCGCAAAAACCCTAGTAGAGCATTGGATTTCCCATTATGGTGTACCTACTAATATTACAACCGATAGAGGAGCTCAATTCGAGAGCCGCCTCTTCCAACAACTCACAGAACTACTCGGAATCAAACGAATTCGCACAACATCCTACCATCCGATGTCGAATGGTATGGTAGAGAGATTGCATCGGCAACTTAAAGCTTCTCTTACAGCCGTCATCAGCAATAATGATTGGGCCAGCAAGCTACCGTTAGTCATGTTGAGCTTAAGATCAACAATCAAACAAGATATAGAATGCTGCCCAGCAGAGTTGGTTTATGGAACCACACTACGTCTGCCAGGAGAGTTTTTCACCGCAGGTAAAAGCGTCCCAACTGATATAGCGGACTATGTACAGCGTCTTAAGCAGCATATGAGTAGTCTAAGGATAACGCTTCCAAGACAACATCAACGCCGTGTGTACATACCCAAACAACTAAGTGACAGTACCCATGTGTTTATAAGAAGGGATAATGTGCAACGTCCCTTACAACCCGCCTACGATGGTCCATTTAAGGTGATTAAAAGAGACGACAAAACTATTACGGTAGACAAAGCTGGAAAAACGGATGTAATTAGCATCGACCGAGTCAAACCAGCTTTCATCGAAGCCTGCGAACGGGCATCCAAAAGTGGTAAGCCCGCCGACGACGAACGCAACGCAGCAAGCTACGTCGATGAAGAGATTTCTGCACTTGATACATTCGACGAACGCACTCAACGGGTCCAGCTCAATCTCTAATCCAACGCACTCAGCAAAGCCTGTGCAACACGACATGGACATGCACAAATCTTATTATCTTATTGTTACTTTGTCCTCATGTCAATTATCTTCATTGATACATTTGTCGGATTGTTCCATTACGATTCAAATTATCATTGTATACTTATTATTACATTATTGCCAATATCATGATCGAATGTGGAATTATTAATCTTGTTCGTGCTGTCATTAAATTATGACATTTTCGCAATCATATTACTCACCGAACAAATTATCATTTTATGAAAATTCCACTCCACTTTGTGAGAACTCATTAGGATATATTTTACTATTCAAAAACGTGAAATTTTCCTGCTTTAAGTGAGTTCGTTCCAATTTTTTTTCATGTCATTTTGATCTAATATTGCATTCATTCACTTAGTCGAGGTCCGCAATTTATGTTATCACAACATACATTTTTCATTTCGAAATCGCCTCCTATTATGTCTGTGGATGCTTCTGACTAGCTGATTAGTAACCATTACGCTCATTTTATCCATTCTTCCACGTGCATAACTACACTCTGCATCACTTATCACTGGAAAACGCTATTCGAGTACTGCAACTACTATTCTATACCCATCGCTCGGTATATCAGAACATAGAGTTTAGAGCTAGCCTCTCAAAGATACACTCTTGTTCGTCACATCCAAGTCAGTCTCATACGTCTCCATCACTAATCATATGTATTGGTATTTTTGTCATGCCTTGGTACGGTTTTGTAACGAACGAGATCGAGCGCATCTCCCTCAAATCACACAAACCACTCTAGGCTTCATGACCAAAAAGGAATACGACTCTACGTACCTCGTCTACTCAGTCACTATTCTGTTCCTCTGGTCATTCTTCTACTAATACATATTCAACAATGACTCGGTGCATTTGTCACAACGCAGACGACAACATCCACTGACTTCAAATTTTATGATTATTATCAATTGCAGTACAGCAACGAATATCACCCGTCGATGCAGATATCATTTCACGACTTTCCTATTATCATCCTACGCATTCGAATTCACTCGTCGCTAGTCGATGCTATTTATTCTGCTGCGGCTCAACAAAATATATATTTCGCATATTTCACCATTTTGTCAGTATCACAGACCAATTTCTGTCATATTCTACTCTAGCCATTTTGACGATTTATTTCGCTATCATACCCACAAGCAATTTATTATTATTTTCACGATATTTTGAATCACTCATACAAACGTGTTATTTTATCGTTCAGACAGTCATAGCATTATTAGATGTTAATTTTTTGTACGCTCATTAATTTGCTCATATTCGCATATTAACGTTTCCATTTTTGTCCGCGTCTTTTCTATATTCATGTATTCTTTTGCATAAGTATGACATTTTCATATAATACACTCAACCCTCATGTGACACTGTACTTTATCGAGTGTTGTACAATTTTTTTTTTTTTTTGCTACTTACAGTTAACGTTAACTACGCACCACTTCACTGTTATTTTCGAAAACAGCCATTTTTTAAATGTGCTATTTTCTACGAGGGGGCTATGTAGTGTCAGTTATTATGGCAAGCCCATATACCTTTATTCTAACTTCCGGACATCCTATTTTATTCATTTTACTTGAGCCATATATTGACCTTGTCAATTATTCGCTTGTCAGTCTTGACTGTTTTTTTTATATGAGCGTATATGAGTGTACACTTCATGTCCCATGATTCATTGTATGTCTGTAGCTTATTTTGTTTGACTATAAATACTGAGTAACGCTTAATTAAAATGGAGTTGGCTTCCCAGCCATCTTCCAGTACGTGTCAAAATTGCTTTGTTATGGCTCTCGCTCGCTTAGCATGCGAACATGCATCCTCAAATTTATATAAACTATTCGAATTCTGTTCAGTCATTGCGCAACCCATCTTATGAACTTCTAGATCACAGCAACTGTAATTATCACACAATCTGCCTTATCAGCTTACGGACCTCATTTAATTACTCCCTTACACACTCATTGTTTATGAATTCCTATATATATATATATATATATATATATATATATATATATATATATATATATATATATATATTTGACTACAAATACCGAGTAACACTCGATTAAGTCGAGTTAACTCATCTGCCTTCTCAGCGTCGCTCCGTTTCTCATTTTTCCAACGGTATTCTCTCAGCCACTTTCTCTACTTCGTTTCTCTGATTGTTTGTTAGAACTCATGAGTGTACGAAATATACAAATTCAAAATTTATTCTCGTATTTGACTTCTTATTTTATTCCTTTATTCTCTAACATCAATTGATTAGGTGATTAGGTACAAGGGTAGCCAAGATATATATTTCAATAACATTCCCAAATGATCAAAACTGGAGTCAGATAAGGGCCCACAAAAAAACACCCTATGAAATATAATGAATCCATATCATTCTGTCTCAGTTGTTGTTCCGGCTTTATTCAGATTCATGCAAGGAAACCATTTACGTGAAATTTAAATAATTTCAACTTTCATATATATCTATAATTCAATACAAAACTAAACATTCCTTCACTATACTTACGCATTAGTTGGTGCAAAAATAAACATTGAACTATACGGTAGAACAGGTTTTCCTTGAATTTGTATAGAACCTTGTAATCTTGCTGTATCATCACTTTCAAGCGATGTAAAATTTAAATTGGTCACTATAAATTAAAAACAATATTGTTTAAAAGGAGAAAAAACAATTTGATTTCATCCTATTTCATTATTGGGAAACATATTAGATGGAAGTTGATTAACAAATGAAAATCACATTGATAATTTCTGATATTCGAAGAAGAATGATTTTGCCAAAAGTTGATTTTTTTATCGTGATCCTCAGTAATAATAAATATCATTTTTATTATATTACGCGGGGCAGTTCGTTCTATTCTACTTAACGGCTGCGAAACGTGGCCATTAAGAGTAGAAGATACTGGTAAGCTACTAGTAATCGACCACAGATGCCTTAGAAGTATAGCCAACAATGATGATAAATCAGTTGAAGAGGTTGTGAATCTTCATCGACTGAGATGGTCAGGCTACGTGTTACGTATGACGGAACACCAGTTACCACGACGTCCATTACTGACTAGTGTTGGGGATGGCTTAAAGAAAATTAGGGGAGGCCAAACCAAAACTTGGCATCAGTGATTGAATCCATTTCGGTAGATGCAGACTACTTGGTTGGGGTTTGCACGTCTATCGTAACCAATGTTTGGAGACTCTGGGTGACATGGCTCGGAATCGATCACAGTGGCGTCGGTGTATACACTCTTTGTCTTCCCTTTAAACATGCAATTAAAATTACTTTACATCTTTCATTCTACGAACTAATTCTTTTTTCTGTACTATATCCTTATATACAATCTTTCTTTTTTATATTACTACCATTGAAGTAACTACTTCTATGAATTCGGTGTTCATCTTGTTGTTCTAATGAGTTGTGGCAACTTGGACCCATGCATATATGTGCCTGGTCCTACGTTGTAGCTGACTGACTGACGATGGGTAGAAAAATCATATTTCTGAGATTTCGTGACTTAGTTCAAGCCACTTTTTCGGAGTAAATAAATAGCCGACTTAATGCATGATATAGTGTAGTGAACCAAAATCTCAAATGGGGTAAACCAATTTATTGTTCAATGCATAATCACACAGTGGCTCAGTAAAACGTGAAAATCATACATCAAATGCATCATTTTCACATCTTCTTTGAAATGTTTCTTACAAACTTCGTTGTAACTCCATTCTTGTTGTTATCTTGATTGCTTCCAGTTTTCAGTCCAATTCCAACGTTGAAATATTTAATTCAGTTGTTATTATTATTTTTATTCTTACCACTATCTGTACTCTTGTCGTCTCACTATCGACTTGTACTTTTACTTATTATGATAATTACTATCGGGGTTTTGGAAAAACAGTTAAATTTATATAGTTTAAATTTTCTAATGATTTTAGTTCGACTACTATTGAAAACCAGGAAGTAATGGATAGCTGTTTGGTCATGGTATGGGACTGTAAGGTAGTGGTTAAAGGTTGTTGGCTGGAAACCTTGAACCTAGGCTTTGTGCTAGATGGTACTCGTCATTTGGTTTAACTTGTAGTCTTGAGGGAACTGATGCTATCTGGGTGATTTGAACCCGTATCACCTAGCTCAACTGTCAGAGACGTTATCATTGAACTGTCTGGGCCACTTCTGACCTCCTGTAGGACTAAGATGTATTGACACTTGAATGATCATTAAGTAGTGATCAGTATTATATGTACCAAGTTCTTGATAGTTCTGATAGAATTCCCTCAAGATTACAGTCAATCAGTCAGTCAGTAACAACAAAGAACTTCGTACGCACGTGCATCAGTTCGAGTTGGCATACCACATTAGCACAGAGATGCAGTTATCGATTCAAATCCCGTAGTGGTAGAGGTGGTAAGAGTATAAGCAGTAATCGGAAACATTAGGGTTTGAAGATGTTGTTCAAGAAGTATAATCAAGTGAAATGAATTTGGAAAGTGTTAAAAGAAAGGGATATGAATAATTCAGAAGATTAGAATTTGGGAGAACACAAACAGTGAATGCACCTGCGTAATTGTAAACGATTTTGAGTCATGTCACTCAAGGTCTCTAACCATCGGTTGCTATCATCTCGCGGTCCACAACCAGGTAGTCTACACCTACCAACATGACTCAGTCCACTTGTCAGTGACTTTATGGATTTGTGCCATGTTTTGGTCTAGCCACTCCTAGCTTTCTTCCAACCTACTCCTATGCAATAAAACATCGCACGTCGGGGCAGTCGGTGGTTGGTCATACGTAACACGTATGCCAGCCATCTCAGCTGATGAAGTTTCACCACTTCATCAATTGATTTGCCATCCTTACCTGGTACCCGTTTCCTAACAACTGCGTTACTTAGTCGATGGTCCCAGGATATACGAGCAATATTTCGAAGGTACCTATAATCAAATACTAGTAACCTACGAATATCCTCTACTCTTACCGGCCATGTTTCACAGCCATTAAGTAGGACGGAACGAACTGCTGCACAGTAAACCCGTCCTCAAGATCACAAGTACACTTTACTGAAGACTGACGACTAACACGAAACCTAGTTCTAGAGTCTCCTGTCAATTAACTCCAACCACCATCTTACCTTTCAGTATAGTGCATACAATTTCGTATCACTTAAACTAGTGGTCACGTTGCAACTTAATCCACAAAATTTAATCTGTACTAAAAATTTTATTCATTTATTATGATAGGATATTTTTCGATTAAGAATGTTTTGTTTTCATTCATATTGTATACCATTCAGTTCAACTTTCAAGTGAATGACAGTCACATTTACCTTGCTTACTCAAATAAAACATCATTGTCCATATTTCATAAATCCCGTTTAACAACTATTTAGAGACATCAGTGTAAACAGTTATTGTCTTCTCGAAACTGACTATACGAATATTATGACAAGACATACAATTCATCTTTTCTTCATACATATAAATAAGTTAGTACAACCTGTTATTCTGTTCTTTTTGAAGAGCAACTTTCCCATAGGATTAATTACTCTTTAACTTAATGAGTCTATTCAAGCTTTAATAATGAAAAATAATACAACGCACTGACACAAACGTAAATATCTGAATACATTTTATCATACAAAATACTGCAGTATTTGATTATAACGCCTACATGAGCTCATTCCAGCTTCTGAACAGACGAATTATCTTAATCCGTTCCGTGTTTTGTACACTTTCGTATATTCGTCTTGGATGATTATTCAGTTGTAATTTTGAGTGTTTTTATACACGCGTGCTTGATAATACGTACATGTTTATCTAATTACTTTTATTTTGTGTAATCCTTATGAAAACTGAATCGTGTCTATTGTCTTTTCGAATTGGTATGCTACTAACTCCAATCGGTTATCTATTCGCTTCCTATCTTATTATTTGTCTACCTCTACATACCTGATTGCAAAAAATATACAAATCTTAAACACACTTCATAGTTGACTTATTCTGTTATCAATAGCGCGTTTGATTTAATGTTCAATATCTCATTGTCATCATCATTCAGCTGAAGTCAACCAAACGATACATAATGTTGTCATATTAAAATTAAAGAATTTCATGACTACACTACTCAAATTCAACATATCAGTTAATTAGTAGTGTGTAGGTTGCTTTTTTTATAAAGAAAATTATTACACAACTTTCCAAATAATTGATGATGAACAATTACTTACTGTGACGAAACATGAAATTGTCCTTTTGTACACCGGTTCTATTTTTATTCATTTCATTTGCATTTCCTTGTATTGTACTGTGAGTAAAGATATTAAAACGTATTATAATCAAATAATCTATGGATTAATGTAAAAAGCTGAAAAGATCTTGAAAATTTCAAATTATAGATGATTTCACATGCTTTTTCGTAAGTAGCGGACAACAGAGGAATAATTTATTAGGTTGTTTGAAAACCTTTTGAAGATCAAGGACTAATAGACGGTTGTTTTCATTTAGTTCACCATATCATTGAAATGTCAATTGATCAAAAGTAGTCGCTAGGAGTCCCTACTTAAATTGAGCTTCATGCTAGTTGATAATCGTTAGCACGGTGTATTCGCAATCCTCAGAGGACTGATCTTTCGTAGAGGATTCGAACTTGCATGACCTAGTTTTACATTCTGAGATGTTACCAATAAGGTATTCATGTTGAAAGCATACATTCACAAACTTTCATAAAATAACATTAAACATGTGAAATTGTTTAGTTTATTTTAAATTATCCACAGCAGGGGGAATACTGATTCCCTCAGAAAACAACAGTCTAAGTGAAAACGAAGTTTGAAATACCCATATATCAGAAACATCTCCCAATGCTGGTTGGAATATATATTTTATAAACATAAGCTTACACCATCTGTGGTACAGGAGAAGAATCCGTTCAAATAAAAAACAACTACGTGAACATAAACATATATTCCAATGGTACTAACAATTGCCTAGGGAATTAAATGAAATTTTCAGCAACATTACTCCTTATTGATAATAAAATAAATAATGTTTTCAATAAGCCGCCATACATATAGAGTGAGATGTATTATTGTTCAATGAAAGAGAACTGTCATTATTGCTTTATCTTATCTTTCATGATAAATGTATTAACAGATGGTAACGTTGAAATTGAAGAAAAGTAAACATTTCTGATAGTTGAGAGCTATTTTTTCTCATTTTCTATTCAGATGTTGAGTGTATACAAAATCATAACAAAATATCTGGAGATATATGATAAATATTATTCAATTGTGAACTATCTAGATAGATCCACATAAAGCAAGTGATCGTGCTTTAGACTAATCTTATAATCTTTCATCCGGTTCGGTTACAATATATAGATTGATCCAAGCAATTATGCTACAGCATAAAATGCATAGGAAGCTTTATTATCGAAACTAAGTCAAAGAATGCATAACTCACTGGCATACCTTTGAAAGTCTTGACCGACCCAAACAAAGAAATACAGGCCCTAACATTGACTAGATGAGAAATTCATTACATTGTAATCACTGACCCATAAATGATCTTGAGTTTCACTGGTTGAAATCATGAGTCAATTGAAGCTAAACCACCATGGAAAATCTGGAAGCACTGGACGGCTGTTTCATCCTAGTATGGGACTCCTCAGCATCCACGATCCCTCCCCTCGTGATATTCAAACCCAGAACCTATAAGTTTCACGCCAGGCGCTTAGCCAACTAAACATATGACTGTTATTATATAATGGACTAAAGCCTGATAATGATTTAATTTAAAACCATATTGTGAGCTTTATTCATTGTTCAAATTTAATCAAATCTACTCTTCCATTTGTCTGCTTTCATGTGGCCTTGAGACATGTGATCTGTTAGGACATATGTTGCCTATCAGATAGTCTATAATGTAGATTGCTTTTACATGTCCACATGGTCTTCAAATCACTGTTAGATGATTGTTTGTTAAAATTGAAGTCTTCAGTAAAAGAGTATTTCACAGATATTTCCATTTTATTCAATAGAAAGCTTTACTTAAGCAATCTGCCAGTCATCTTCAATATTGTTCAGTCATTATTGTTCATCAATATTTCAAAGTAGGAATCATTACTGTAGCACAATTTTTTACTAAACGCAAGTCCGACAGTTGGTTTATAAAACAAAAACTAACGCCTCCAGGACAATAAACAGACCTCAAAATGTTACCCTAATAATCAAAGACAGAATCCAGTGGATTACTAATTCCCGACGAAATGATGATAGCTAATCTGATAATAAGTTAGAAATTGTTGATAGTGCTTTCCGGTTTTCCATGGTGGTTTATCTCCAATTCACTCATAGATTCAACTATTAAATCTCTGAATGATAAATCATATTATCACTAGACTAACAAAACACCTTCAGAAACTTTTGAGAAAATTAATGCCTACAGTTAAAATAAAATCTAAATTATGCAAACAAGGATTGTTCCAACTATATGACAGAAGTGAAATATTACTCTCTGATTTTTCAATGTCCATTAACTAGTCTATCATATCAACTCCTTAATTGCACTTTGAATGACCAGATATCAAACGAAACTACAAACAGTTCAGTTCGTGAAAACCTTGTCGTACTAAAACAATAAAATTCACCTAAACATGAAATGATTTACTCATTATAATTATTGTGAGAATGAAATGGACTAGATTCCTTATTTTCACTTAGCGGGTTAAAGCTAACTTTTCAATCTATGTTAGGTGCGAGGCAATAGTCCTTCAATCACATTAGAAGATGATTTCACAAAATTAATAATTGATTGAAGTTAGAAATGTGAACTAACGAATGTAGACTCAGTGGTAAATGAACACTACTTGAGAAATCAGTATACGATAAAATAGTTGATCAGTGCTCCTTGCTTCTCAATAGTTGCCTAACTAAACACTGTCTATGATAAAAATCAATCAAACATAGTGAATACATTGTGTATGTACTTTCGTTTTAACACACGCAACCACTGATCAAATTCTAAAGTTGAAAATATATTTTTATTATGAACTAGAGATCTAGAGAACTATTAGAATCTGATCCTGATATGGGATTCTTTAACAGCGTAACACATGAACATTCTTCTAACATCATAATTAAATTCAGAATCTTTAGAGTTTGCAAAGTTAGCATTCAGTCAAAATTCATATTTTATAACTTCAGTGAATGTATGATGTAATGTACAAGAGTATTCATCAGTTGATTCACATCAAGTGTAACTAAACCTTACCAGTTGATATTTCTTTAGAATAGATGAATTTCGGTTAGCCAGGAAATTCAGAACGTGGGTTTCATCCTACTTTACACTCGTCAGATAAATATACCTGCATTCAAGTAGTGATGTTACATTGGGATTTGTACTCAATATCATTCTCTTTAAACGCTAACATTTTACTAATACTTTCATTGAAAATCTAGGAATCAATCTTAAAGACAGTCATAATATCATGTTTCAAGAGATTTTTGTTTATTCTGTCTATCATTACTTGACGTATTCCATTTACGTCACTTATACAAAATAATCTCTCCTTTTGCTTTTGAGATGGTGGAGAAGGTTTGTAACTCAGGTGGATGATTTTGGTAGAGTTTTGTTCTCTGAGCTGGATGGTTTGGTCGTGAAGCTTTCATCGTTCTTCTGAACGACATCATCAGCACAAACTTCAGATAGAAGTGGAGTGTCCGAATTTCTCCATTTGTGTTTCACAGCTTGTTCTGTGCACCTCGATGTTGATTGGTTCTTATTGACTTTAAATTTATCATTGTTTACTTCTTTGTTTTGGTTGTGTCTCCCATTGGTTTGAATTTTGTTCCTATACTTATGCATGATTTTCCTGATTGGTTGATAAATTGGATTGATTTCAATATGTTTGTTGATTGCTGATTGACCTGAGTGCCAGGTTTCTAGAAATTCTCTGATGTTTTTGGAGTTTCCTCTGTCTAAGATTTCCACATTTTTCCAATCGAATGAGTGTCCGTAGTTATCTACGTGTATTGATATAAGTGAAGAGATATCATGGCGTTTGACTGCTAATTAATGTTCGTGTAGTAGGCGAAGGTGGAGGGGGCGTCCGCCTTGTCCGATGTAGTGTTTGTCGCAGTTGGTACAATTTATTTGTAGATGATGTTTGATTTGTTTTCCTTTGTTATTTCATCCTTTGGTTTGCATAGGATTGATTGTAGTGATTTTGTCGGCACTTCTATCTAAAGTTTGTGCTGATGATGTCGTTCAGAAGAACGATGAAAGCTCCACGACCAAACCATCCAGCTCAGAGAACAAAACTCCACCAAAATCTCCTTTTGCTTCTTTATTCGTATCCATTTTTTCCTTTTTAAATGACTCTTCACTATGAGATACTGTTATAATACTCTTTTGTCACTTGGATTTAATTGATTTTTTTTCCTTTTCTTTTCTACTTAAGTTCCTTTCTAAACACAAATATATCAGCATAATAGATATCAATGACTATTTTGTCATCTGTTCATAATGATCTGACATGTATGCATTATTGTTAGTTTATTGAAATTAATAGCAACTTTGTTATTTTAAGGATCTACTCAAGTTTTAATGAAAAGCAATAAAGAACTTGTGGGAGCATTCAGTTACAAGTTATATTTGAATTAAATTATATTTATGTTGCAGTATCGGTTACTATATTAAGCCCACATACTTTATTCCAGCTTCTGGACAGGCCAGTTTATCCATCATTCTTGAGTCGCGTTTTGACCATGTTAATATTCGCTTATCAACCTTGACTGCTTTTATATAAGCTTATCTATGTGCACCTCTGATCCTATTCATCACATGTCTGTAACTTATTTTTGTCTGACCATAAATATCGTTTCACGCTTGATTAGATGGAGTTGGCTCACACGCCTTCTCCACTGCGCCTTCTTTCGTTTCGTTTCGCTCTCTTTTCTTCGCTTCATTCGCTGCGACTCTCTGATTGTCTGTTTCGATTAACGAATGTACTAAATATACGTATTCGAACATTCATTCTCGTATTTGACTTATTCAATTCCGTTATTCACTAACGTGAGTTAAGCCGATAAACTTATACGAAAATAGTCAGGATGTATGTTTCAACAATCAATCATACGATCAAACTGGAATCAGATCTCGCGCCATTAAAGTGGTGAGTCCGTCGATAACATCGTCCGATCTAATTGACGTCAAAATGATGGGCCCCACAATGATATGACTGTTCACATTTTTTTGAGAAGGGTTTCAGCAAGATATTTGAATTTTCAATACTGTATGTTTGATATGGTGCTATTCTCAGAAATTTCAAACTCAACTATATAAGGATCTTTTGTTATCTATATTTATTTATGTGTCCTGCAGTTGATTTTGTCACTTAATACACTTCATACTCCAGCTATAATAAAACTTTCTATTAGTTCAAACTGTAATGTTTTTTCTTTCATTCCTGAATCAACAAATATTATTATTCTGTGGGTTGTCCTGTAAGATAGAATGATTTTAATAATGTTTAAACACTTCAGTCTATTTGATTAAACTTTTCGCATGATTAATTCTACATTTCACCGGTCTCGTAGTATTCGATGTCCCATTGTTTGCTTGAAACGTATCATTTGGGGGTAGTGATGTTGTAACGATTACTTAATTTAAAGATAGTTTTCATGAAAAGATTGGAATTAGCTGGATTTGAAATCGACTGTATACAAGTATTTAGTCAACTACAAGATTTGTATATTCCAGACTCAATCTCTAAGTGACTGGTGATTCATTTTAAATAAGAATGAGATAGTTTTTATTCTCCCAATACTCCTCTCCTTTTAACGTTTCCCTGGTTGATAATAGTTTTAGATCATACTAAACCGTAAAAGTTTGAAATTCGATAGAACAGATGAATTTTATCTAGCATTAGAATCTATGAAGTACATTTGATCTTATTTCGGACTTGTCAACTGGATATACCTGGATCCAGTTTTGATGATTCATAATGCATATTCGTTGAACAAGTTTATATCTCCCTGAAATCATTTGCTCAATGGAAAGTACATCGATGTTCTTGGCGCATGATACTCGAATTATTTGCCGATTTAAGGATCAATGCTAGAGTACAGGTACATTCAAATAATGAGTCCCAAATAGGTGAAAACATGAGTTCCGGGTTGTACTATTAATCGCAAAGTAGCTATGCTCTAAGACATCTAACAAAATAATAATGATATAGATACACACAAACTGGCAAATATGGTTAAAATTCTGTCTTGAATATTAGCAATAGTATAATTCGAACCTAGGTTAATAGTAATGATATATTCATTTTGAGAAGTTTCATAGTCATTGTACAAAAACATAATACTACAAGTCCTGCATTGTTATATAACAATAAGTACGCATTTTTGAATAAAGATCTTACTTTGGACTATTCTCTGTATCATGAATATTAGATTTGTGATAATTATTCACCAATTTTCCTGTTTGTGTATTTTTGACATCGCCGTTATTGTTATTATTATTATTATTGTTAGAATTATTTTTGGCATCAGTAGCGGATCGCATTTCAGCTGATTCTTCAGCTAAATGACTCTGAAATGTAAAAAAGGAAGAATATGAATATGCATGGAGATTATCAAGGAATTATTAATTTACAAATGAATTTAACGCATCTAAAAAATAAAGTTGATATTTAGGTTACATTCTTTAAGTCTTGGGGCAATCGCTTAATCACCATCCAGTGATAAAATTCCAACTATATTTTCCTCGCAAAACTGGAAAATGGACCACTTAAAAGCATAATTAACCATTTACCAACTTATTATCGCTATATAGACGATACTTTCATTGTATTAGAATAAGAACATGATAAGAACAATTTACTTAATATATTTAATAACGTTCATTCATCAATTAATTTTACATCAGAAGATGAGCAGAACAATAGCGTATCATTTATAGATGTCCAACTAATTAAAAGAGAAGACGGAAGTTTAAAAAGAGAGATACACAGAAAGTCTGCAAAAGGACTATACGCTCATTTCTACAGTGCAGTTCCAATCAGATACAAAAGGAACTTGATAAAGATCTTCACTCATCGTGCCAGAATGATTTGCTTGGAAGACACCATTGAAGATGAACTGGTCAATATTCGGAACTTACTTAGTATGAATGGGTACCCTATGAAATTGATCGACAAGCACATGATGGAGACGAAAACAAGGGCAAAGATACCTACCGTCCCTAAGAAAGAACTGTTCATAAAATTACAATTCATAAATGACACCACTGAAGAAATCGTGACTCAGAAACTAAAAAGAGCTGTACAAAAAACATTTAATACAGCCAGATTAAATGCTATCTTCTACAACCACCCCAAAATAAGAATTACCAATAAAGACAGACTGCCTGAATTCGCCAAATCCATGTGTATCTATCGGTCCAACTGTTCCTGTGGAGACAGTTATATAGGGCGTACAATTCGTCAAGTTCGTCATCGTATTATAGAGCATAATCCATCGTGGTTAAGCAGAGGACAGGTGAAAGTGATTAAAAGTTCTATTCTCTCTCACTTGGTTGACACAAGTCATCAAGTTGAATTGAATAAAGCTTTTATGGTTATCTACCATATCCCATCGAATTCGCCACATGGTTTACGAGTGCGCCTTCTGCACATTGCGGAAGCCATCGTAATCAATGTTCACGAACCTAACGTTTTCATTCAAAAGAGATGTGTACAACCACTTTCGCTGCCTTGGCCATCGGTATAAGATTTCCTTCAACAGAATTATTTTTCATACTCCTTCCATTTGGTTTTTTTTAATTTTTGTAATTTGGTTTTTTGTTGTTTTTTGAACTTTATAATTTTTCAATGTTCATCTCTTGATTCTTACGTTACTACTATTCTATTGACCGTCCATTAAAATATTCTGTTCCTTCTCTCTTTTTTATATATTACGTAACGTAGCAACTTCTTGATTTAATAATTGCTTTGAATATTAATAATCCTCTTTCTCCCAATTACTCAATGTTAATTTAAATGTCATTATGTCATTATTACGTAACGTATCCACTCGATGAGTATTATATTATTATTGTAAAACATATATATATTAGTGTAGAGCCATGATGAAAAACTAATTCAATAGAAATTTCTTCGCTCAATTCGTTCTTTCTTTATTTACCAATTGTCAAAATGGGAATTTTCACTATATAAACTATTCGCAAGTTGGTGAAATGACAATTCAAAGCCATTGATAACAGAAGTTTCATCACCGATAAGTTCAAGTTGTAACATTGAACGCTGATGTTATGATTTTAATGGTTAAATGGTCGCCACTAAACCAGAGTTCCGGTGTGCGATTCCAAAAATGATTATGAGTGTCCACTATTCTGGAGTACCGTGGTAGGATGCAGAAGCTGTCCAATACTTCCCAATTTTCAGTGATGCCACAAATGAGGTCAATATGTGTTAGGATAGTCGGAAAAATATACCAATAATTATCGTGTTAAGTCTATGGTGGCCTTGGACCTTAAATGTACACTCCCTATTAGTCGATATTTGTTTCACTTGTTAAATATTGTGTAAATGTTGTTTTCTATTTTTATGGTACGATGTGGTCTGTTTGGTTAGTATATAAATAGAGTATGTCTGAAATATAACTCCGCCTGTAGCTCTTATAGGGTTGCTGCCGGTCCCAAGCCCGGGTAAAGGAGGAGGGTTGGGCATGGGGTTAGCGTCCCCATCCCGTAGAAAACTCGCTAAAAAAACGCTGACCAGAAAAAATAATTCAAACCATTTTAACTCTGCCCTGGGAGTTAGAAGGTCTTCATTTAGAAGAATTATGACGCTTCATGGTGAAAGCTGAGTTCCTTCGGAAGCCACGAGGCCGATGCCCCTTCTAACAACCAGAGCAAAAATTTTTATAGGTACATGGAACGTTCGAACAATGTGGGAAACCGGGAAGACCAGTCAAATATCAATGGAAATGAGGAGATACAACTTAGCAGTACTGGGAATCAGCGAAACCCACTGGACCCAAACTGGACAGAAAAGGCTAGCTACGGGAGAGATGGTGCTATACTCCGGTCACGAAGAGGACAATGCTCCACACACTCAGGGAGTCGCTCTTATGCTGTCCAAAGTAGCACGAAATGCACTTGTAGGATGGGAAAATCAAGGATCCAGAATCATCAAAGCATCATTCAAAACAAAGAAGGAGAGGATCACAATGAATATTATCCAATGTTATGCACCCACCAATGATAGCAACGACGAAATTAAAGATCAGTTCTACGAGCGGCTGCAGTCAATCATTGAGAAATGCCCAAGAAAGGACCTAACTATTCTGATGGGAGATCTAAATGTCCAAGTCGGAATAGACAACACTGGATATGAAGACATCATGGGACGACATGGACTGGGAGAAAGAAACGAAAATGGAGAAAGATTTGCAAATCTATGTGCATTCAAAAAATTGGTCATCGGAGGCACAATATTTCTACACAAGCGTATACACAAGGCTACATGGATCTCACCGGACCACACTACAGAGAACCAAATAGATCATATTTGCATCAACCAAAAATTCCGAAGGACAATGGAAGATGTGAGAACCAGGAGAGGTGCTGACGTAGCTTCAGATCACCACCTAGTTGTAGCCAATTTGAAACTGAAGCTAAAAAAGAACTGGACAAGTGGACAAACAGCAATACAAAGGTTCAATACAGCCTTCCTTCGAGATACTGTCAAACTCAATGAATTCAAGATAGCTCTCAACAACAGGTTCCAAGCCTTACGAGATCTACTGAAAGAAGAAGAAACTACTATGGAGGACAACTGGAAAGGCATCAAGGAAGCATTAACTTCAACGTGTCAAGAGGTTCTCGGTCTAAAGAAATACCATCATAAGGAATGGATCTCTACAGAAACACTGGACAAGATCAAAGAAAGGAAGAACAAGAAGGAAGCAATAAACAACATCCGAACACGAGCAGAGAAAGTCCAAGCACAAGCTGAATACATAGAAGCAAACAAACAAGCGAAGAGGAGCATTAGAGCCGACAAGAAGAAATACGTGGAAGAACTAGCAACGACAGCAGAAAAAGCTGCTAGAGAAGGAAACATGAAACAGCTTTACGATACAACGAAGAAACTAGCAGGGAAATACAGTAAACCAGAGAGGCCGGTCAAAGACAAAGAAGGCAAGCCAATCACTGAAATTCAACAACAGCGTAACAGATGGGTAGAATACTTCGAAGAGCTCCTGAATAGCCCGGCTCCAATGAATCCACCGAACATCGAAGCAGCACACATAGATCTTCCTATAGATGTCAATCCACCAACTACGGAAGAAATTAGAATGGCCGTCAGACAAATCAAGAACGGGAAAGCAGCGGGACCCGACAACATACCAGCTGAAGCACTGAAATCAGACATCGAAGCAACCACAGGCATGCTTTATCTTCTATTCAAAAAGATTTGGGAGGAGGAACAAGTGCCGATGGACTGGAAAGAAGGACACTTCGTCAAGATTCCAAAGAAAGGAGATCTGAGCAAATGTGAAAACTACAGAGGCATAACACTACTGTCAATACCAGGGAAAGTCTTCAACAGATTGTTGCTGAACCGGATGAAGGATGCAGTAGACGCCCAACTTCGAGATCAACAAGCTGGATTCCGTAAGGATCGGTCGTGCACAGACCAAATTGCAACACTACGGATCATCGTCGAACAATCAGTTGAGTGGAACTCATCACTATACATCAACTTCATTGATTATGAAAAGGCATTCGACAGTGTAGATAGGAAGACATTATGGAAACTTCTTCGACACTACGGAGTTCCTGAGAAGATTGTCAATATAATCCGGAACTCATACGACGGACTACAGTGCAAAGTCGTGCATGGAGGACAGCTGACACATGCATTCCAAGTAAGGACCGGAGTCAGACAAGGCTGTTTACTCTCTCCCTTCCTCTTTCTTCTGGTGGTCGACTGGATTATGAAGACCTCAACATCTGAGGCAGAACGCGGAATACAATGGACAGCTCAGAATCAATTAGACGATTTGGACTTCGCAGATGACCTAGCCATCCTATCACGTACACACGAACAGATGCAGATGAAGACAGCCAGTGTAGCAGCAGTCTCTGCATCAGTAGGCCTCAGCATACACAAAGGGAAAACCAAGGCCCTCAAATTCAAAGCGGAGAACAGCAATCCAATCACACTTGATGGCGAAACTCTGGAAGATGTAGAGTCCTTCACATTACCTGGGAAGCATCATCGATGAACAAGGAGGATCCGATGCAGACGTAAAGGCGAGGATCGGCAAAGCAAGGGCCGCTTTCCTACAATTGAAGAACATATGGAACTCAAAACAACTTTCAACCAATATCAAAGTAAGAATCTTCAATACGAACGTCAAGGTAGTTCTACTGTATGGAGCTGAAACTTGGAGAACTACAACAACCACAATCAAGAAGGTACAAGTATTTATAAATAGCTGTCTACTCAAGATACTCAACATCCATTGGCCGGATACCATCAGCAATAGCCTTCTGTGGGAGAGAACAAACCAACTCCCAGCTGAAGAAGAAATTAGGAAAAGACGATGGAAATGGATAGGATATACATTACGCAAATCGTCAAACTGCATCACGAGGCAATCCCTAACTTGGAATCCTGAAGGGAAGCGAAAAAGAGGAAGGCCAAAGAACACATTGCGTCGGATAATAGAAGCAGATATGAAAAGGATGAATTACAACTGGACGGAGCTAGAAAGGATTGCCCAGGACAGGGTTGGATGGAGAATGCTGGTGAGCGGCCTATGCTCCTTCACGAGGAGTAACAGGCGTAAGTAAGTAAGTAATGTCTGAAATATAATGATTCATAACTCAGAGGCTGTGACTTGCGTTCTAGACTCAACTGGCTGGGCTAGACAGGGAAGCGAGACCAGTCAGGGCACTAGGTCGTTCACTACGTGTTTTCCGTGTCACTGTAATCGATCGATATAAAACGCAGCTTATCAAAACCTGCAGTCACACCCGTTACAACAGTATGTGATCAATACAGCCTTCAAAGTAAACCACTCTTCAAAAAATCACTTCAACTAGAACTAATTTTTACTTGAATCTCTTATCAGATATTAGAAATACACATAAACTTCTTACAAATGTAAACGACGCTATAAGTGATATATTCATTTGGAACAAAAGAAATCCATTTCATGAAATATATATTCTAGGAATATCACTGAAATAATTAAATGGATGTTAACAGGTTTCCACTTTCCACCTCTAGAAATGGCATATGCTTGTTTATGAATGAATTCAGATGGTAATGAGCTACAAAATCCCCAATAGATAAGAGTACCGTAATTGCGTTTAATAGTGAATCGATCAGTCATAATTGGAATATGGAAATAGCACAATTATCATCACAAAACATCAAGACGAAAAGAAAGGACATTCATTGGATCAATAGTGAAAGAGTCTAAATAACACTAAAGGATTGAACATAGAGAATATGATTCGGAAAGATGAGATAAAATAGTGAAATAAAAAGCATTCAAAATATTCATATTCGGAAACACATCAAGAATAAATACTTATTTTGCTACTGACACCAATTTTCAGTCTTAGCACTTAATATCTTTAAAAATAGATTAGTTTTATCCCCATTACATCGTCAACATAAACTAAGCGTACTACAAACCGATAGCTCATAAATTGATGAACCGATATCACATCGTTTGACTTCCCCTTAGCTTTCTTCCAACTTACATTCACGACGGTCAACTTGATAGAATAGTAGTTTAAAATCTACCAACTCTACTCGATATTGAATCTTTCCTTTAAAACAGTCATGGTTAGTAAGTGAATTGACTAGAGTGACAGATCAAATAATCCCTATCAATGTAGATAATTCGAAACACTAACAGAATATTGTAATAAATAATTTTAATAAAATTCCTTAGATGTTTCATTTACTATTGGTTTAACAATACCCATAATGAAATAAATGTAATAATGTTTTTGATGTGACTTATTTTTTAACCAATAATATTAGCTAAAAATCTTATCACGTCCTCACTAGTGACTAGATTCAAGATGGATCTCCTAGAGTTCTAGTGAGTAGATGTGACCATTGGAATCCAATCCGTGTCCGCGAGTGTGAGACAGTTATTCACCTCAGACAATAGATGAAGGGTTGCACAAGATCATGGATCAATTGAAGCTAAACATTAACACTGGAAGATGTCAATTCAGTGGTCTACAGGTTAAGCGTTCAGGCTCGAGGTGAAAGTTCTGGGTCCGAGTCCTGCATGCCGGGTCGTAGATTCGCATTGCTGAAAAGACCCGTACTGGGATGAAACGGCCGCCCAGTGCTTTCAGATTTCCAAAGGTGCTCCAGCTTAGATCGACTCGTAAATCTAATCATTAAAATTATTACAATCTCTACAAACTCTTATTCTGATAATCTTATTTATATTTGAGAGTTATTCTATTCCTAATCAGACCTATTTTAATTTTTCTTGCACTACATAGTTTGCCTTTTCATATATACTATTTAATCTAGTATTAATTTGATTTAGTTACGTAATAATTTTGCTATAAAGAAGCAATTTTAATTAAATTGTTCTATTCTGGTTTCTATTCATTGGAAGATATTATTATTATATTAACATTTTACTGAATGCTCAAATTTATTTAAAATTGCCAGTTCTACATTTGGTAATGATAATTAGTCTACTTGTAAAATTCAGACATAATTCTTTCAGTTGTTTAGTGTTTATTGATTTTCAGAAAATATCCCATCATTCCTGTAGTATTTTCTAAACAAACACAGCAAAGTCTTGATAAACATACGAGATGTATGGATTCGAATAAATGATCTAGGAATACTTTAGATTTAAATGTGAAAAAAATTTATGCCTCAGGTGGGTGATTTTGATGGAGTTTTGTTCTGTGAGATGGATGGTTTAGTCGTGGAGCTTTCATCGTTCTTCTGAATAACATCATCAGCACAAAGATCACGTAGAAGTGAAGTGTTCAAATTTTTCCATATATGGTTCACAGCTTGTCCTGTAGACCTCGACGTCATTTGGTTCTTGTTAACCTTAAACCTGTCATTGTTTGCTTCTTTGGTTTGATTGTTGTTCCTGTTTATCCATAATTTTTCCTTATTGGTTGATAAATTGGATCGATTTGAATGTGCTTGTTGATTGCTGATTGAAGTGAGTCCCAAGCTTTCAAAAATTCTCTTGTATTTTTAAAATTACGTCTATCCAAAATTTTCATATTTTTTCTGTTCGAATGTGTATCCACAGTTCTCCACGTCTATTGATATAAGTGAGGACATGTTCTAACTTTATGCTAATGATTTCGTTCAAAAGAACAATGAAAGCTCCACGACCAAACCATCCAGCTCACAGAATAAAACTTCATCAAGATTTAAATGTATATAATTATCATGTATTTGAAAGTATTTTTTTAGCTCAATTTATTTCATTAGATTTTTCTTTATGTTGTTAAGTCAAAAGCCAAAAAAGATTTGACGTCATTAATTAAGTATCATTCAGATCATGTCTATGCTAAAATAAAAAAGCCACACTCTCCTGTCAACGGCAACTCAATTAATGATAATAAGCTTCGCGGATAGTTTAAGAATGATTTTTAACCCAGTAAAATGACAAATATTCAATGCTTTTTTCAACTAACTCTGAATATAATCCAAATTCATAGTAGGTTATTATTCTCAACCATATTATTTTCTGTAAAGCACATTATTGAATGACTGTGATATGAATAGAGATGTTTGAAATGATCTTTATTTATTTATGTCAAAATATCTACTTTTTTCCATGCAAGCTGTTCTCGTTTCCCCCCCCCCCCTATACTCCAGTCATTTGTAAATACTATATACTCTCTATAGATTTTTATTAGTTTACTATTCCCAGGATCATTAACTCAAAGTATTTATATGAAAAAAATTGTAACAATGTATCCTGGTCTGTATTTTTCAACTTTACTTACTGTTATAACTTGTGCCCTGTGTCCTATTAATGTATAACGTGATGAGACCGCCAATTAGAGAGCAGTGATTATCGATCGGATCAATGACGCATAAAACCTGTACGACCAGTCTAAATCCCTTATCGGTTCTACTTCCAGACTAGCCCAGCCAGTTAAGTCCAGAACACCAATCTCAGCCTCTGCGATATGAATCGTGTATTTCAAATATACTGGGTTTATATAAAAACCGAACAGACCACATTGTACCATAAAATAGGAAACAATATTTAGCCAAATGTGGCTGTGAATAAGGGAGATAGTAATTGATAGGCAGGGCATAATTCAAGAATGTTAAATCGTATAATAATAGTTCATAGGTCAAAATAAAGCTGATGATAAGAGGGACACGAATATGAATAGTTTACTTATTTAACAATTATACAATAATAATATATGTATAGTATTAGTCCAGAAATAGATTCCAACAGTTACCATTCATTATTCTCATCGGGATATAACACCTACATTTACGTATCCAGATATAATTCAACAATTTGTGAAGAGAATGATTCATCGAGCTATATCCAAGCTATCGACATTTAGGCTAGAGAGAGACATGTGCATAGGATGTCCTATGATCAAGCGCACACGTTTACACAGACAAGGTAGTGATCTTAATAGTACAAAGAAAGTATGCAAATTGTTACTGTTCAAATAACATTTTCTGTTAAGTAATTTAATTAAAGAGCTTAATAAAAATTAACCATAATCAAAATTAATTATAGGAGATCTGCTATAAATATCTTGTCAACTAATCAATCAATAATTAAGAATCAATAAACCACGATCACAGAACTATAATCACTGTCCTTCTAAAAAAAGGTAAATACTTTTTCTTTACTTTTCACAAATAAAAATAGTTTAAATCCATTTATAAGATATTTTCCTTACTTCTTCTTGTAATTTGGCCTGTTCTTCTTCAGCTTCGGTCAATTCTTGAGCATTTGCCAAATTATCCACAGCAATAGCGAGAAATACATTTAATAGTGTATCTTTTGATAGTTCATAGTGTTAAGGAATGTGTATGAATAATTGATTAATGAATTAAGAAATAAATTTTCTCTAAGGAATTTCTGTAAATATGACATTTAGATTAATTACCAATCATTAGATACATTGAAATAGACCAAATATATCAAGCCGTAAGTTAAATATCATTCACTTACTTTATCAAAAATCATCTACATAATACAGTGAACTTGGATACAATAACAAATAAAAATTTTCAGAAGCCATATTGGATGATTTTGATGTAGTTTTGTTTTCTGAGCTAGATGGTTTAGTCTTTTATCTGAAGTTTGTGCCGATGATATTGTTCAGAAGAACGATGAAAGGTTCACGACTAAGCCATTCAGCTCAGAGAACAAGACTCCATTAAAATTGCAGAAGTCAGCCAATCAAAAACAAAGTCATCAGGAAAAATTGATTTAATGCATGCTGAATAGCTAAGAAGTGTGTATCTAGATCAGAAAAAACCAATTGTATTATCCAAAATGACATACACCCGTTTTGTAGTGACTATTTCTGAGCTATGTTGTTGACAGTTTTCCTTAATTTCTGTTGTCTTTACATTTACAACAGCAAAGGTATGGTTAACTGTTCAAGAATCTGATAAGTTGTCAGAAATTTTTCCCTATTACCTATATTCTGTAAGACTAAATGATTTGTAACTAAAATTGGAATCCAGAATAAGCGTTTCCTTCTGTTTAGGACTCGTCAGCCAAATACAATTTCATCCCAGTATTGATACTTATACTGATGCTTGGACCCAATAACTTTCAGCTTTAGACATCAGCTTATCATCCAATAACCAATTAAGTCCAGATAAATACTAACTTGTTCAACGAATACAATGTTTATATTATGGTAAATGTATGTTTGAATTATTCTCTTAGTTGATATTGAGAAATGAATTTCAATCAGACTTTATGGACTATATATTCATCCTGAATAAATTGTTTCTATATAGTTATAATTAACAAACATGATCTTAACCATCGAAAATACTATATTATCCACAAAAATCTTTCTAATATGAATCGAGATATCCCCACTAGTGACTGGTTTCAAGAGGTATTTTCCGAAGTTCTGGTGAGATGCAGTGACCAGTGGAGTTCAACCGGCTCTGTTATGAGATAGTAACTCATTGAAGACAATGATAAATGTGTCGCTCAATTTAGTGGATTGGTTGAAGTTGGACATTAACACCGTTGGATGCCAGCTCAGTGGTCTAATGGTCAAGCGCTCGCGCACGAGACTGATAGGTCCTGGGTTCAAATCTCGCGAGACGAGATCGTCGGTGCGCACTACAGAGGAGTTCCACAATAGTACGAAACGGCCGTTCAGTACTTCCAGGTTTTCCATGATGGTCTAGCTTCAATTGACTCATGATCTCAACCATTAAAATATATTTTAGAACAAATAAATTTACTACTGAAATAAGTGATGAATCGAATTTCATTGAGATTGACAACTTGAACAATTTGAGTAAATTACACTTTTAATAAAAAAAATGCTTCTTTTTTATTTTGTTTTTTTTAACCAGAGTAAAAAGGATACAATTTCCAAATACCATAACTAAAACAAAATATACACTGTAAATTGCACCACCACTAGTAACACCACCTTGTGCTCTTATCCCATTATACATAACTGTATTCCAATCTTCACCAGTTAATATCTATATTATATAATAATAATAATAACAACAATGGTAATCGTAATAATAAATACGTTTTATTAAATGATATTTATAATTTAATTGTGTCAATCTACAAATATATTATTGAAAATTAATGATAGATTGTTTAGTGTCATTGGTGATAATGAGTGTTTCAATGTTTTACATTCATCCTTCAATGTATGGAACTAATACTTATCGTTGTAATTTGTGATATGAATTGCTAAGTTAGCATAAAAGCAATTCAATATTAGAAGTAAGGTGTATAACTACACAGAAAACAAGACAAAATCAAATGGTCTAGTAAGTGTAAAATGTTGAAATAGAGAGAATAACTGAGTAGAGTGTACGTATATAACACAAGTGTTTGAATCTCATATACAATAATAATAGCTTCATTCACTGTCCTGTCACCTTCGGCATATCAAGCAACCCGAAAGTCACAAGAATACCGACATACTCCTCAATCACCAAGGTAACTATCTTGGTAATCATCAATCCATTAAGTATTTTACGTTTATTTAGACTTTGAAAAAACAAACGTAACATAGTTTAAGTTGAAGAAATTCATGAAGAAATCCTGTACATCAAAACAGAAAATGTTTTCAACTTGAACAAATACACACATCAATTAATGTTCTCAATGTGAAACTATTTATAAAATGATACCATTGACTTGTAAAATGTTGAAATCACTACAAAATAATGATCAATTGCAGTCCTGAATAACAACGGGAAGATACAAGTAAAACAACATCAGGTGAATTTAAACTTCACCTGATTTCACAACCAGGTGGCTATCAGAACTGAGTAGCTAAATGGATGGCGCGATGGCGTTTGAAGTGAAGGGTTAGAGTCCCAGAGTGAACATCAACTCTGGGATGAAGGTACATCCAAATGAGTCACAAATAGGACGAACCGAGCATGTTGGATTCCACCGCTAGCCACTATTCATATTTGCTTAAAAAGCTTGTGACTTAAGACAATATCGAGGCAATCCGCACTGGATGCACATATTCCAATAAGAGACTGATCAGTTGCGGTCCTAAATAACAGTGGGAAGGTACAAGTAGACAACACCATGTAAATTTCATATTAGTTTTTCTGATAAAAAATAACGCTTTCGTACCTTTATTTACCCTACCTCACTGTTATCATGTTTAACAGAATTTTATTATCACTATTATTGTACCTATTGTAATTAATATCATCCTGGAAAATAAGTATATATTTACGATTGTACTGCCTTGAAAATGAAATCACTGTAAAGAGAACTCTTCGCTAAACCGATCTTTCTTATTTTATGTCTCAATGGGTATATATTCCGTCTCAGTTCATCAGTCTGCTATAACGTAGGACCATGCACATATATGCACCGGTCCAAGTTGCCACAACTCATTAGCACAACAAGATGAACATCAAATTCGTAGAAGTAGTTATTTCAATGGTAGTAACATAAAAAAGATTGTATATAAGGATATAGTACAGAAAAGTAGAATTAATTCGTAGAAATAAAGATATAAAGTAATCTTAATCTCATGTTTAAAGGGAAGATAAACAGTGTATACAACCACGCCATTGTGATCGGTTTTGAGCCATGTCACTCAAAGTCTCTAACTACTGGTTACGATATATTCCGTTTACTGAAGTTTAATCAGACAAAATTATAACTAAATTGTTGAATATCCAATTGTTGAAAGAAATAAGAATATTAAGCGTCAGAGTGTGAGACCGAAGATCCTGGATTCGAAAATTACGTGCGGGATCGTGGATGCACACTGCTAAGGAGTCCCATCCTAGGACGAAACGGACGTCCGGTATTTCCGGGCTTTCAATAGTGGTCTAACACTCATCGATTCATGATTTCAATTAAAACTCAATAATCTCCACAATCCCTAAACTGATAATATTAAAGTCACTTAAAAAGCTAATCACTATAATCTTCAACCTACCATGTAATGAATGTATTCCTAAATAATGAACAAATTCTATTTTTACATGCGAAAATGATACTTGAATAATATGAGTAATTGAAATTTAAATCATTCCAACTTTCAACCAATATCAAAGTGAGAATCTTCAATACGAACGTCAAGGCAGTTCTACTGTACTGAGCTGAAAATTGGGGAACTACAACAACCGCCATCAAGAAGGTACAAGTATTTATAAATAGCTGTCTACGCAAGATACTCAACATCCATTGGCCGGATACCATTAGCAACAGCCTTCGGTGTGAGAAAACAAATCAGCTTCCAACTGAAGAAGAAATCGGGAAAAGACGATGGAAATGGATAGGATACACATTACGCAAATCGTCAAACTGCATCACGAAACAATCCCTAACTTGGAATCCTGAAGGGAAACAGAAAAGAGGAAGGCCAAAGAACACATTACTTCGGGAAATAGAAGCAGATCTGAAAAGATGAATAACAACTGAAAGGAGCTGGAAAGGATTACCCAGGATAGGGTTGGATGGAGAATGCTGGTGAGCGGCCTATGCTCCTTCACGAGGAGTAACAGGCGTAAGTAAGTAAGTAACCTTTTGTGTGAACCGGTTTGCTTTTGTAAATTAGTTACTTTTTGGATATAAAATAAATATTAATTATTTAAAGCATTAATGACGTTGTACAAGGCAAGCGCTAAATTGGAATCCTGAAGGGAAACAGAAAAGAGGAAGGCCAAAGAACACATTGAACCGAGAATTGGAAACAGGTATGAAAAGGATGAATAGCAACTGGAAAAGATGGCACACGACAAGTTTGGATGGAGAATGCTGGTGAGTGACCTATGTTCCTCAACGAGTAGTAACAGGTGTAAGTAAGTAAGTACAATTTACTTAACAATATTCATCCAAAAAAAATTCATTCGCTTGAAAATCTAACTCACTTGAAATACCGTTAGCAAGGCTTTAACAAAGGTATCGAAATTTTGTGTTGGTCTTCCTTCATCAAAATTGAAACTGAAAAAGAATGTAAATAAATTTCCTTTACAAAAGAAACGATCAAATTGATTAAAATATATATGTAAATGACAATCAATTATTCAACCTGTACACATGACAACAAAGGATTTTTAAAAAACAGCAAAGTGATAAATTCAAGGTTGAAACAATGATTTTATTGATTTTAGCTAAAAGCAAAAAAGAGAAGGATGAAAAGTAACTATCGGAAACATAAAAGTAATAAAAAGTTTTTTTTGTTGGTTTTGAACTTTATCACTTTCTAGAATTTTAGGCATAAACCAGTGAAAACTTATCACCTGTTTATTCCATGTAGATTTCCCATGTATATAAGTCATGAATCAATTGTTATTCTTTGTAAATAATAAGTGTAATCTGATACCCTATTACATTCTCCAAACTAATTGACAGGATGAATATTTTATGATGTATGGTGTCTATAATGTTTCTTCTATAAAATTTTAACTTACCCATACTTTTACTTCATTATTACTCAGTTATATCTTTCGAAAAAAATCAACTAGTATTTGATTCAATAGTGGACCAACTGTGGTTCAATCGCTTTAATTAGATCACGTTGTTTATACTGAACTGAATATTCGAAGTATAACTAATAAGTAGCTATCTCTGGTGCAATGATGATTTGCCAACATCCTATGTGGTGTAATCTGTCACTTATGTTTCAGAATGCTTTTTTTAATATAGTTTCTTAATATCACCATCACTCCGATATATGGAGGCCTGCTTGAACATTTATGCTACCTGTTCCTGATATCTAGATATTTCAAAAAGTTATTTAATTTTGTTCGTTTTAATACATCACTATGGCTAGTTATTGCATAACCTATTCAGGTGAGTTTCTGAAAAGTGTACAACCTTTTTTTGTACAAGTTACTATTATGTCCTGATAAGTATAATGAATGGTAACTTTTGGGACCCATTTATGAACCAATACTAAACGTATATTTTATCGTATAATTGTTAAATAACTAAACTATTCATATTTATGTCCCCCTTATTATGAGCCTTATTTTGACCTATGAAGTATTATTATACGATTTACCATTCTTGAATTATGCCCTGTCTATCAATTACTATCTCTCACACTCACAGCCACATTTGGCTAAATCTTGTACAAATGTTATTTTCCATTTTATGGTACGATGTGGTCTATCTGGTTGGTATATAAACCCAGTATGCTTGAAATAAATGATTCATATCGCAGAGGCTGAGATTGGTGTTCTGGACATAACTGACTGGGCTAGTCTGGAAGTAGAACCGATAAGGACTTTAGACTGGTCGTACATGTTTTATACGTCATTGGTCCGGTCGTTAATTCACTGTTTTCTAATTGGCGGTCTCATTACGTTAAACATTAACAGGACACATGCCATAAGTTATAACATTTGCAAAAAGCTCAATCAGGGATATCGTGATTGCTGACAATATGCAGCGAAAAGAATGTACATTATTTAAATGTTGATTGACTGGAATGCTAACTTCTAACCAGTGATTACTCGGTATTTATCATCAGAATCGACCAAGGAATAAGAAACACAAACTCGCTGAAATACTTTGTGCTGAGAATTCTATATTGTATCAATAATATAATACTGAGTAAAGCTAATAACAATATAATACATGAACTTTCATTTAACTTTTTTACTGGCATTACTGGAACTCCAAGAATTTCATCCATACGGTAAACATCTGCTACCCCATAGTGACCACAAATTCACTATCATCTAACTTATTTCATGAGAAAGAGAAGACTGTCATAGCTTTTCGAAAAAGAAATTCTATCAATAAATTTTTCTTATACCGTTGGTCAAATTGTTAAACTAACGAATATAAACGAGTAACATTAACGATTGTGGATCATATTCTATTTCCTATGTCAACTAGCTTATAACGATGTCAAATAATTCCGGTGAGACTGTAATTTATGGACGACTTTTGAGCGAAGTTAAAGTGACCTTGAGGGTGTCTACCTCCTTACTAGGGCTAAATGAGGGTTATAAAGCAATTGAAGAATAAGGATTATGATTTACAGTTGATGGTTAGGGTTAGCAATTAGATTGAGGGTTTTCATCACGAACTGATATCAGCTTTAATGCTATGACTCTATGTAGTCAAATGGGTGAATGAATTTCGCGCCGAAATCTAAAACCTGTTATTGTAAATCTGATTGGTTCGTTCATAAATTAAAGTCATGCCATAATTCCTGTTCATTGACACGTTATTTAATCAGTCAAATGTTTATGTGATAGCTATACGAAAATAATTCCAGTCATTATGCTGTTAAGTGGAATCCAGCTGGCCATTATTCATTTTTTCTTAAAAAGCTCATGACTTAGGGCTATATGGAGGCATATATGCATATATGCCAACATGAGACTGATCAATTGCAGTCTTAAATAACAATGGGAAGATACAAGTACAACAAAACCAAGTGAAGGTTACTATTTATTCTTCATTTCATAGTTTTTTTTAAAAAAACACTTACTCTCCGCCAAATAATTGCATTCCAAGTAATGCAAATATTAGGATGAAAAGAAATAATAGGAATAATAACGAAATAATACTTCTCATTGAGTTCAATAATGAAAGTACCAAATTACGTAATGAAGCCCAATACCTTCATTGAATTACATTACAAAAATTAGAAATACAATTTTAATAAGAATAGTAGAGTTAATTTACAAATTAAATGAAATTTTATGAAACACTTTTTAACGATAAAGAAATATACTTACAGGCCTATTGAATTAAGGGACTGTAATCATTAACTTCTACCTGAAGCTTGTGCTGATGATGTTATTCAGAAGAACGATAAAAACTCCATAACCGAGTCATCCAGCTCAGAGAACAAAAACCATCAAAATCATCCACCTGAGCTACAAATCTTCTCCACCATCTCAGATATATATTTATTTACTAGTTACATCAGTGATTACATAATACACATTATCTCACTAGGTGAATTTCATTTACTCATCTCTTAAGATATACAAATTTGAAATTTAAAACGGATTGAAAACAAATGTACTTAAAAATCTATTTTGTCTGAGATGACTGAGAAAACATATTACTTGCCAATGTTTTAAATAGCTTTCATGTTCCAAAAAGTGTTTTGTGTTAGTAACATATAAACCTCCCTATCTAGTTCTCGCTATATTCGTCTGTCAATATATTTGTCTTTGAAGAATGAATTCCATAGATCGTAGCCAGTTTTCACTGAATTTCATTCATCTATACATTTTCAGTCATTTTTACGCTTAATAGTTAAACCATGTTATTAATCATTCAGTTTGAAACTGCTTTTCCTCAATCCTACTTTTTCAGCCTTGAAGATAATTTTCCTATCCTATTCGTAAACTATCCTAATGAAAAATCCTTGTCACTTCAAGTGTTCACAGATTTAACTGTTGGTTATGCAACATCACATAACATTTTTGTTTATTTCGCAGACTAAGATGGTTTCCCTAGAGTTGTGAAGGACTGACAAACATCAGTAAAATAAAGCGGATTTATCCTTAATTTATGTTATTGTTTATATAGAGTTCACTCACTTTTACTAACATATTCGATTAGATTTTTATCAGAATGAGAAGTTATGGAGATTGTAGTAATTTTAATAGTTGAATTCATGAGTTGATCTAAGATTGAAAGTCTTGGGTTCGAGTCCCACGTGCATAATCGTAGATATATACAGCTGAGGAGTCCCATACTAAAACGAAACGGCCATCCAATGATTTCATATTTCCAATGATGGTTTAGCTTAAATTGACTTATGAGTTCAACTACGAAGAATCGATTTTTCCTAAACAGTGTTTCTAAGGTAAACATTTTTCTATCAACATATTATTTTACGTCATTGTGTAACAATAATAAAAAATCCAAATCTCTACATATAAGAAAGATATCTAAAGGAAGTATGATATTATATAGCAGTATTTAAACTTTTACAAACTGGAAATAATCCGTTTTATTCATTTTAATTTAGAAAATAACAAAGTCATAGTGTGGTGCGTGCTACTTATATTGATATAACTAGTATATAATGCGAGTCAGGAATGTAATGTCTGGCAGCAGAAGATTGGGAAGATCCAGAAAAGAAGGATGGGAATAGAAAGCAATTAGTATAGAAATGCAAGAATAATGAAGTCCAAGACAATTATTGAACATTTTGCAAATTAGGTATTATAGTATGGTTTTTCTATTTTACCAAGTAATTCTGCAATATTGTGCTAAATATAATTCGGTTGTCCTCACCTGTGTTCACCTTCACTACAATAAGACTTGTATATTATCCACATCTTATTACAAGTACATTTCTTGCTGTTATAAGAATGATGAATAGATTGATTTTGCATAGTGACCTGTTTTGTAAAATCGATTATAATTATCGAAGTGATTTCACAATCTCATTTTAAATTTATATTTCAAAACGTTTATTTCTAATCCCCTATTTTTTTGTGAAGAATAATAATTAATGCTTCAATTAGATGGTGTTAGTTTGAATCATTTATAATCCCCTATCTATATGTTCATTTTCTTATCCATTATAATAGTCATAATATAATCGTTTCCTTTAAGGAATAAAATATAATCGTTTTTATCCCATATTCATCATGAAACGAAAAACTAAATACATTTAAATACATTTTTTTATAGCATATTTAATCCAATTAATCATTCATTTTCAGCCTTCCTCCCCCCTCCTCTTATTTATTTATTATTTTCCCTTATCATCATTATCACCATCATCACCATCACCAGGGGCTTTAGTTTTAATCTGTGAACAGTTGAATGAATTTAATTTATAACCTTATTGTTATAATTCGGAAAGTATGATTTACATTTTTCTTTGTTTTTTTTCTTTTCTGTTTTGTTTATTTATTTTCTTTTATATTCAGTCACCTACACAACTAACAATTAATAAATGTTAATAAATTAAGAACTATAGCAGTGTATATCCTTTGTGCTTATTTATTATTTGCTCATTCAGAAGATATCTACAATGAGCATATACTAATCATTCGGTATATTCTATACTTTAAAAAACTAAACGATCACCAGATCGATTTCGAAAATATCAAAATATTACAAAAAGTTTTTTTTTCTCAATTACAAAGAAAGGAGAGTAGCTGAAGCGTTTCATATAATGCTTAATTCTATTTCTTTCAATAGAAAAGAAGGCCTTATCATACGTCTAACTTGGACTATCTATCCTAACCACCTAGTCTTATATTATTTACAATTCACACTATTATGTATAAAGGTTTCTTACGAACAGTTGAAATCCCCGACTTCTTTATTATGTCATACATGTACTTCTTAATGAAAGCACTGGGGTAGCCGATCTCGGTCAGTGAGTTGTTGATAAATTCAAGCTCCGGACTTAGAGTATCTACTGCCTGCCAATATACCCAGTTCTGCAATTTCACACCTATCCGTTACAAGAGAAATTTGATTAGATTTCTCACTAGCAGAGCTAAAAAGATCTGTACAGTAGATACTCTAAGTCAGGAGCTTGCATTTATCAACAACTCACTGACCGAAATCGGCTACCCCAGTGCTTTCATTAAGAAGTACATGTATGACATCATTCACACTATTATCTTACAAATTAAAATTTATCCTTTCTCACCATAAAGGTCACACAATTTTCATTCTTAACAGTGCACACATACATACACACAAATTGACATACATGTTTTTTTACTGATCACATAATATTCGTGTTATTCCGCTGTACTATTTAAATTTGGTTATTTGTCCTCTGAAGAAGTGGCTTATGCAAAGTCACGAAACGCCAGAAAATCTAATTTTTCTACTCATTGGGATATTACAAATATATTATTTATTTATAACAATCTACCAAATGCTCAATTTATTCGAAATTATCAAATCAAACCTTGGTAATGATACCTACTGATAATGATATGTGTATCAAATTAATCCAATTTCTCGTATTCCTAACTGATTCATTCACATAAATGAATGATATATGTATAAGTAAGTGAACAAGTGTATATCCTTTGTGCTTATTTATTATTCGCTCATCAGAAGATATCTACAATTAATATCTACAAATCATTCGGAATATTCTATACTTGAAAGAATTGAACTCACTGTTATCGAACTGTGTGAGATTAGTTTGGTTTTCATTAATCTGAATCAGTATGACAACGCGTATGGAATCGATTAAAATAATCATTTTAATTAATGGTTGAATTCGCCAGTCAGTTTAAGCTGGAGTACCACTGAAAACCTGGAGTTACTGGATGGCTGTTCCATCCTAACATAGGACTCCTCAGTAGTGCGCATCAACGATCCCGTATGTGAGATTCCAATCCAGGATATTCAGTCTTACTCGTGAACGCTTAATCTCTAAACCACTGAACCGGCATCCAGTGATGTGAATGTCTAACTTGAATCAATCCATGAGCTTGCGTAATTCTTCATCCATTGTTTGAGGTGAAGTTTCTCGTGTGGGATCGTGGATACTCAATTCTGAGTTGTTAGTCCCATACTATGATGGAACGGTCGTCCAGTACTTTCAGTTTTTCAATGGTGCTCCAACTTAAATCGACCCATGAATTTAACTGTGAAAATATTACAATCTCCACAAATCTTCATACTGATAATTATTGGTTGATTGTAGGTATTGTAAAACAATCCATAAAAGAAAAATAAATTCATCAATTATTCTGCTACATTAATTGTTCTCAGTTTGTTTTTGTATAAATTCATCGTTGCGGAAAGAAATTGCATGAAATTATTATTTCGATGATAAGTTCATTCAAAATTATCTTTCCATCAATGTTAGAAGGGAGCTTTAGACATAAAATTCATTCAGAAATCAATACATAAATATTATATAGCGAAAGAGAGGGCGCGCGAGACAGAGAGTGGACAATAACAAACATTTGAGTAAGCAAAAAAGTTAAATTCAGTTAATTTCGTTAGGATCTCGTCAACTGCTTATAAAATCTGTAATACTTAAGTCACAACTATGAAATGAGTTAAAAAAATACCTATGAAACTTATATTAGTTGGGATTTGTTATGATCAAAATATCAGTATAGTTTACTTACTTACTTACTTGCGCCAGTTACTCCTAGTGGAGTATAGGCCGCCGGTCAACAATTAATAAATAAACATTCACGTTCTTACTTTTTAAAGTTTACTTTAGTTATTGGCACTAGGTATCAGAAACTTGATTTTTGTATTCAAAAGGAAACTTCTATTAATCAGTTTTTGCTCTAGTAGTATGAATAATACTTCCATAAATTATTCGATCTTTTTCATTGCTTTCAATGAATTGATTGTCGATTCCCTTTCTTTTTTAACTATCATTCAGTTCAGTAATGTTATTTGCTTGACTAACTAAGCTTTACTCGTATTATTCATTCTTATTTACTATTAGCATTGTTTAGTATATAACCGTTTATTTCTAACCTTTTGATTTCCTCTATCTTAATTATCACTGTTCCAAGGTATTCTTTAACGTATGATATACATCTATGTAATTTTAGTTTAGTATCGTAAAGTCATCCACATCTTTAGTTTCCTGTGCTGATAATTAATCATAAAAAATTACCAGTAAATTGCTTTTTATAAATATTTTTCAATCCATTTGTGATTATGATCTTTATAGACTGCAGGTTATGTAATCCGGTGGTTAGGTGTTAATAAACTAAATTAAACTTAGTACCTAGAATTCATCATGAGAAAGCATCTACAGTACAAAAGAAAACCCTGTTCATGAATATGGAATTTAAAGGAGACACGGATGCTGAAGTCTTAAATAAACGGACTTCAAAATCATTGAATAAAACTTTCTATACAGCCAAGCTCCGAATTGTTTTCTCAAGCCGGCCTACCATTCCTGGATGTGTTAAAGATAAACTTTCGCCTTGAACCACATCAATCTGTATTTATAAATTTACGTGTTCATGTGGGGCTCGTTATATCGGCCGAACAGAGCGATCACTTTTCAAACGAATCTCAGAACACTATCCGGCTTGGCTTGAAAAAGGATAATGTAAGACAATCACTGGTTCTATACAGGAGCATTTAATCAATTTTGGACACAGCGCTCGCAAGTATTCTTCTTTTAAAGTGATTTACAAAATCAAAGGAATTGGATCGAAGGGGTATCGAATCAATATTCTATGCACTGCTGAGGCATTGGCAATTCACGAACTCAAGCCCGAACTTTGCGTGCAGAAACGATTTGTCCAACCTCTCGTCCTTCCTTGACCCTAATTCCCTTAATGGGTGTTTCCGTTTTTTTCTACACTTTTATTTGATTATTATCGAATTTTTTAAAATTACTATTTTGCATTTTAAACTCTAGTCAGTTATTATTACCATATACAAGTTTTCTTGAGTATTATTCAGTCTATTATTATGACCTTTGTTGTTAGTCGCTTTTCTTCATATTTGTCAATTGGACTATTATCTGACCCATAAACGATTTTCTTCCTTACCCCTTGATTAGTACGTAACCTCATTTGTTATTTATCCTCGAATCCATTTTGATGATGCAATCCTTTCTATCCCTCTATAGACATTCATTTTCCATATAACTATATATACGAATGTACAGCTTAAGTAAATGATTTCGTCGAAAAGAAAATTTTCTTCGCTGAATTCTTTTTTTCATATTCAATGACACTATGGGTTATTTTAATTGCCTAAACCAAATTCATTTCATTCTATCCAAGTTTTTGTTCTCATTCTCTTCAACATAATAAAGGGAACTATTGAGTATAAAACATAAATATGATATGACATTACATTTTACTTAAGTTGTTTTTTTTCTCTGTTTACCTGGTTACTTTGAAAATTCGTAAAAGTCTCAATGCACGTAAAACACTGATACCAAATGATGCATCAGGATGAAAGAATCCCCAAATTATTTCAAATAAACTTCCTATAATGACCTATAAAAAAATGATAGAATAGTAATAGTAAGAATACATGTTTTGTTAGCAAAAACAAAAGTACTGAGGTATAAAGAATAATTTACGATCATCATTCGGAATGATGTCATATTCAAGTCAACATAGGCTAAGGTTTACGCACAGTAAACATTTTTTGTCTTTAGAAATGAATCTATTGTTAAAGAGTTAGTATAAAATTGTAGAAATATGTAGTAAGGATTGAGATTGAGGTTTACAGAAAGTATTCCATGTAACGCATATCTGAAGGGAATTAAGGTGTTCATATTGTATAATAACTAGATATTAAATAAATGATAAACTCATGGTAAATACACTGATACGGTTCTATTCATTTAACAAACAAAGAATCCTCTTATTATTTGAAAGTCGTAGATACCAATATAATCAAGTACTTTAGACTTATGAGTACAAAAAAGGAAAATCCGGTGAGACTATAATTTATGGACGACCTTTGAGCTAAGCTAGACCGACCTTGAAAGTGCTCACCTAATTATCTATGACCAAATGAGGGTTCTAAACCTGTGTAAGAAATTAGAATTGTTTTACAGTTGATGATTTACGTTAAGAAATAGATTTCGGGTTTTCATCACGAACTGACATTAGCTATAATGCCAAAACTATTTAACCAAATAGGATGAGTAAACTTCGCGCCAATATCTGAGGCCTATTATCTTATACCTTATTGGTTCGTTCATAAATTATAGCCTCGCCGAAAATTCATGATGACAAAATAATTAGAGCATTGCAATTTTACATATTATTGTAAACGCTTGTTGAGCAACCATGTAGATTTTGTCTCGGTTACAAACCCTTATTCTGCAATCATTATCATTTTGTTTTAAGTTTTAGTAATAAAAATTGGTATTGACGAGCTCGAATTCTTTTGTATTCGATTTCATTTTTAACTATTAATTACCCAATCTTAACTGCTATACTTATTACCATGTATTTGTAGTGTCGGTTATTATGTTAAGCCCATATACCTTATTCTAGCTTTCGGACAGGCCAATCTATTCATCCTACTTGAGTCACATTTTGACCTTGTTAATTATTTGCTTATCAACCTTGACTGTTTTTATATGGGCTTATCTATGTGCACCTCTTATCTTATTCATCAAGCGGCTTATTTTTGTGTGACTATAAATATTGATAAACGCTTGATTAAATGGAGTTGGCTCACACGTCTTTTCCACTGCGTGTCATTTCTCTTCGCTTCATTCCCTTATTGCGTGTCCAAATCAATGAGTGTACATAATATACGTATTCAAATATCTATTCTCGTATTTCACTTATTTAATTCCATTGTTCACTAACGCGATTGAACCCAATGATGATATACGACGATTGGCGTCATGTATATTTGGATAGCAATTAGCATACGAAATAACTGGGGTCATCTCGTGCCTCCAAAAGATATTTTCATAGTTTCCATTGCACAATGACCTTAGTTAAGCAACAAATGCGAACCAAGAAGCAATGGACACGTATTTCGTCCTAGTATAGAGTTTTTCAGCAAGGTATATCTAAAACCACACAGGTGATCAAACTTAGAACATTCGATTCCGACAGAATGCATCTAAACTTTAGACCACTATATCGATTAGCGTTATTTCACAACGATTTTCCAATGCTACTCGTGAATAAGAGAATATAGAAAAACTATTATGTTTCATAGTGAACCCCATGAACTAAGATATTTTTCCTGATTCTATGTATAATGAAAATCTATTATTCATTGCTTTAAATTTGATTATTTCTCAGTAATTATCTCAACTTTATTCATTATTTCTATATAACTAACCTAATTGACTAATAATGTACTTATCTTAAAGGTTTATTTTATGTCCAGACAATTATTCTTGTTATTCATTTGTGGATTAACTTGGTTAAACAATACAGTAACAAGACCAGTAAAAACAATCAAATCATAATTTGTTTGTTCTGCTCTAATCAAATCATAATTAGTATTCTACAATTTCAATTAGCAATATACATATATATCGATTAGCGTTATTTCACAACGATTTTTCAATGTCATCGGTGAATAATGGAATATAAATAAATTATTATGTTTCATAGTGAACCCCATAAACTAAAATACTTTTCCTGATTCTGAACTGAAAATTCAAAGAACATTTTTATTTATACAATCTATGATCCTGAATTGATCCTATTGATTGACCTACAATATGATCACTTCTAATGATTGTTAAAAATAATAAGATTCAAGAACTGAATTTGACCTATATATATATATATATACGTATTAGAGTATAATCTTCAAAAAGGTAACCTTGAAAGCTTCACGACAATTTATCCCATAGAAAGTGTTGCTATGTATGTTAGACAAACTTTATGTTTTGTATTATATAACAAATAGAAAGCTGTTTTATACTTACGTATTCATCAACTAATTAGGTCCTTCATTTATTATGACAAATATATATATATATATTTATCTTTTATATTGTATAAGTATTTAATACAAATAAAGTTATATTAATATGAATAAATTTTATATTAATGAGAAGTTTATTTGTAAATATAAGTGTCCTTGAAAACATTTACCCTCAAGATAAATAATTATTGTCACATTATCTGTTACTGACAGACAACAATGTGTTCTAGAATAGTGTGGAACATATGTGAACGGCTTTTTTCTTTCTTTTCAAATTTCTTTCTTTTTTTCTTTTTTTTTTGAAGAAATGTCAAAATATTCAAGTCTTCAAAATTTGATCATGTATTGTAATGATTAAGAAATTTCCTATTATTACAGAGATGGGTTTGGTTAGTTGGGAGTTAGTTATCCAACACGAACTGATATTGATTAGTGAGGTGTTAAAAACTCTGTGATACTATCCTGCATCTTTAATTGATCCAAGTTACAAATATATAAAGTACTAGATCCCATTTCATTTGCCCTAAGGCTAAATGCTCATTGGTTAAATTCTGTACTTTGTCGTAGTTGAGAACCTTTTGGGTTGTTTAAAAACATCTATCTCAATATTTTATAAGCAAAGATGGATAGTGGTTAGTAGTGGAATCCAGGACGCGAGTTGCATTCTATTTGGGACTCGTCAGCTGGGTGTACCTGTATCTCAGATTTGATGTTCGCTCTGGGACTGATCAATTGCAGTCCTAAATAACAGAGGGAAGATACAAGTAAACAACATCAAGTGAATTTAAAACTTCACCCGATTGCACAACCAGGTAGCCAACAGGACTCAGTAGCTAAGTGGATAACGCGATGGCGTTTGAAGTGAACGGTACTAGATTCTAGTCCCGGAGTGAACATCAAATCAGAGATACAGGTACATTCAGCTGACGAGTTCTAAATGGGACGAAACGAGTGCCTTCGATTCCATTACTAGCTATCATCCATTTTTGCATATAATGCTTGTGAATTAAGGCAATATCGAGGCAGTTCACATAGGATGCATATATGCCAACAAGAGACTGATCAATTGCAGTCCTAAATAACAATGGGAAGATACAAGTAAACAACATTAAGTGAATTTAAAACTATCTCAATACTTTTAGTTGTAGAAAGCAATACTTGTCATTTTATTAATGTTCTGTGAGGAAAATGTGAATCTGTAAACCAATAATAGTTTAGACCTTCAGAAAGTTAATTTACATACTCCATTACGTTTAGTACACAGATGAAAATTCATGTTGTCTTGATTTGCGGTGCTTTCTTCATCTTTATTACAATCCCAATCAGTGTATTTATTAGATAAATGTAAATCAATCTAATACTCAGAAAATTGAAAGTTCAGTTCGCATATAAGGGATTGAGAATTGTTAGCAATTAACCATCAAAGTTATGCTGTGTGATTTTCAGAATGCTATACTATTGATCAATTTACAATATGATTACTAAACTAGGGAATAATATTCTAAATTAACAAATAAACTTACCACACAGTCAAAGATATTGAATGAAGATTCAAAGTAGATTCGTATATTCAATCCATATACTTTTAATAACATTTCAATGATAAATAAACCGAGGAAAACAAATTCTGCATAATCTGTAAGTAAAACATTGAAAACAGGATAATAGTATGTCAAACGTTTGTGCTACTAGTAAGTTAGAATACAATTAGAGAAAAAAATCTTTACATTAAAAAAACTTTTCAAATGTAGGTTTCTCACTAGTTGACTTCAAATAGAAAACCATTGAAATCCAGGAAGCCATAAACAGTTGTATCGATCTAGACTGGAACTATTTACTGAAAAAGAAACTAAATCAACCACTCAGTCTTGTAATGACCACGATATCACTGGACCAACGAAATGGAATTCAGCTGTTCAAAAGTATAACTGACATAATGACGAGATATGCAATCATTCCAATAGATGATAACTGTTACACTTTCCAAACAGTTAACTCCACTAATCACGGTTCGCCATTAAAACATAGGCGAATGTATCTAGAAGTTCTGTGTATGGACTGAAAAAAATGGTTCTCATGATGAAGTAACATCTCTCACTAACATATAATATTGATATTAAAAATTTGAATTTTTCGGTTCGAATTCAATAATCTGAAGCCACCATGAAAAAACCTGAAGATCATAAACTTCAATACTTTTAGTGATGTTGGCAATCACGTCCAAAGAAACTCAAACTAAGACAAAATATTGTGTGGCATTTCTTTATTTCTTATCACTTCTTTGAGCTTGGTTCTTCCGAGATTATCCATGAAAATATATGCTAGGACAGGACCTAACGAACTTCTCATTGCTACATCATCAGTTTGTTGGTATATGATATTATTGAATTGGAACTGAACATCTTTTGAGCGCATGATTAATAGTCGTTTGAGTTCTGATGCTGGTGGAGTTAGGATGTTAGAATGCTGAAAAATTATCTATGGTTTCAAGAAGTGGTATTTTTGTAAACAATGATGTCCATTTAAATGAAACCACAAACTTATCACCAATATTTATGTGATTCATATTGTCAGCAAATTCAAATGAATCTTTTGATGTATATCTGGCTAATCGTTGACGAACTGTTTCTTACTTATCCGCTAGCTGTCGTGCAACTTTGTGGTAGGGCGGGTTGACGATTGACAGAATAGGTCTAAGATGAACACCTTATTTATGTATCTTTAGTAAACCATATATGTGTGGCAAAAGAGACACACGAGGTTGTGGGTCATTGGAATCGGAATTATCAATCACCTTCTTTAAGAGATCTTTAAGTACATTCGTGATTCTTTTTTTCAATTGAATTGGATAAGTCCTTGTTACTTTTATCCAACTTGAATATCAGGTGGCCACTTAATGCGAACTTCATCTTAGAGACAGAATCTGTTATGTTTATCAGAACAACACATGAACCTTTATCTGGTCGTAATATCATTACACTATCATTTTGTAATACTGTCAGGTGATTTTTAGGTAAAAGTTTCGTCTGTGGTGTAGTTTGGATTTAAACCATCCATTCGATCAAATAAATTCTCAAATTGAGTTTCTGTATCTATTTTATTGGCATTTATTTTAGAGATATGAAATTTAAATCCAAGCGATAAAGCTTCTGTTTCTGTCTGATTTAACTTCACTATTAATAGATTATAGAATATTTTCGGAGGTTTTCCGGAAAACCAACGCATATGATTATCATGAAATATCGTTTATTATTACTACTACAGGAAATATACAACATACTTATTGAGTTACATGTCACTTAAGAAATAAACGATCACAGATAAAAATAATTTAAAGATCACAATACAAACAGTATTTATTGATTGACGTCACACTTGAGAAGATTTCTACAGATTACTTAGTCCTATGGAGTTCAGTGAGTTTATTTCTATCCCAAGAAGATAGCCTGTATTCTAATTTCACTGGTTGAAATCATTAGTCAATTGAAGCTAGATCACTATTGAAAACCTGGAAGCACTGGACGGCCTTTTCGTCCTAGTATGGGACTCCCCAGCAGTGCGCATCCACGATCCCGAGCCCCACGAGATTCGAACCCAGGACCCATCAGTCTCACACCAGGCACTTAACCAACTAGACCACTGAGCCGCGGGGGGTTGGATCGTGGGTGTGCACTGCTGAGGAGTCCCATACTAGGACGAAACGGCCGTCCAGTGCTTTCAGGTTTTCCATGGTGGTCTAGCTTCAATTGACTCATGAATTCAACCAGTGAAATTTCTAAAAATCTCCACAAAACCCACTCTGATAATAATATTCTAATTATCAGTCAATTGAAGATCGTTATCATAATAAACTAAAACGTTCATTAAAATAATCACTAAGAGCACACATCATATAACAGAATATTATATTAAGAATATCCTGTAAATTAATTCTCAATATTTTACAGAGCGAGTTTTGTCGCATTGATACACTAATAAACGATAACTTTGAAAATAATTCAATCAATTGAGATGATCAACTAGAGGTTCACAATAAATAGCCATTTTCTATTGTTATTGAATTTATCAGGTTCTAGCTTATGCTTTATTATCAATACTTTTAATATGCAAAAATATATGACGAGATAGAGGGAAGAATATAGAAATGATCTCTTCTTTTTTTTCAAAGCATAACCTTGACCTATATTCTATCTCCTTTTCTTGCTATAAAAATATATAATCCTGAAAAAATCTAGGTTTGATTGGTCGGCAACTGAATTAAATGAGGATTAAAATTATTAATATTACTAAAATACAAGGTTTAAGGAGTTCAAAGAGGGACATTGTGAAAGACTATTCATTAATGTGGAGGTGGGTGTAAGTAATTAATTTAAACCGCGGTTGTTTTCATGTTATGGAATAGTATTAATAGCTTCTTATTTTGGGGGTATTGGATTTCACGACAGTTTTGGTTTCATCACTTATGATACATAAAGTTTACAAGTTATACATAAACTGGTAAAAAAAAATCACTGTAAGTTGGTATGTTCTCAAAAGTAAGTGTCTCCACACAGTACAACATAAGATATATATATTGATATTAATAATAATAACTTAGGAAGTACGACTATTCTATTGAAGAGATCAAATGGTAGAGATAAGCACTAAATGACTTTCATGTGTCTTTTTCTTCTATAACCTTTCGACATTTTTAAGTCACATATCTCATTACCATCTGAACAGCGACCAATATGAAGTCTACTATTTTCAGTGTACAACAGTTAATAACTCAATCAATCGAACTCATACTCTTGAGGTCTAAGTATAGTTTTTTTTCTGAAAACGACTGTTTATAAAACATTGTAAACTTACATAAAAATGTGGAAAGCCATACTGGTTGACCATGATGTTCAATAGCACCGCATACGGTATTCAAAAATACAAGTATAATTACAACCCAATAAAATGGTTGACTTTTTACCATTCTCCTTATAGCATACCTAGATAATTATGAATATTGAATGAAATTTGTAATAGAATATTAAATAGTTGAATTCGTTTTTAATTGAAATAAAGGAAAACAATAGATATTGATACTTTTTTCACGCTTCATTTCAACTGAGAATCAGCTAGAAATTTCATCTGCTTCCCACATGTTCTCTTCTAACAGAAACTGAGATTAGTGTTCTGGACTTAACAGATGTGGCTAGACGGGAAGAAGGACCGATAAAGAGTCTAGACTGCTCGTACAGGTTTATGAGTCATTGATCCGGTTGATAAATCACTGTCCTCTAATTGGCGGCCATAAGTTATAACAACCACGTAGTAGAAGTAGTAGAGATCATAGTTTTTCTGGTAAGATTTTTTATGGTATTACTAAAACTTATTTATAGAACACTAGGAGTATTGATATAAGCTGTAAAACTTGGTTGAATGCATTTAATACAAATTTTAGACAGAAAAGTATTGGATTTCAGTATATACAAATGTCTCACCATTTCTCTATGATTTGTAAATTAAAGAACTTTTGGCTAAAAGTTATTAATTGAATACCAGACAACAATAACAGCTTTCATTGTATAATGTATCACAGTATAGTGTTTAAAGTGTTGTGGTATAGAGGTGTTAAAAGTTCATAATACAAGTGTATTAGGGTCTGTTGATAAGTAGAATATCTTCATATTGTTTTCAATTGCTAGCTAATTATTCTTCTATATACTCAATAGCAGGAGTTCCTAGAATTAACGTTTCATTCCATCTAGAATTAGTCAACTGGAAGTCCTTCCATATCATTATAAACATTAACACTGAGGATCAAACCCAAAGAAGACCAATAATTTCAATCTCAACTTTCATTAATAAAAGAACATGTGTTCTTACAATCAGCTGTAAAAACGATAACTAGTGGACTACTGACTTATGCTCTGTAGTTGAAAACAACTAGTACTCAGTTTGAGATTCATTATGACGATAAAGACTAAAATGCGGATATATTAGCTTGATGAGTTGTGAACTAAGGCAATATCGAGGCAATCTGCACAGGATGCACATATGCCAATAACAAACTGATCAATTGCAGTCTTAAACCTCAATGGGAAGATACAAGCCAAACAATACCAAGTGAAAAATTGAAGATATTTTTGAAATATCCACTGGTAATGATCATTAAAATTACTATCACAGTATCACTTCATATTGTTTAAAATACTAATCTATTTAGTCTAATTAGAAGGAAGTGATCTTCTTGTTAAAATAAATCAGCAAAATTTAATATTACTTCCGGCTGTAAATAATCACAGTACTTTAATTGTCTATTGTAAGTATATTACAAACAATCTTGCACAGAATTTCTAAATCATTAAAACAATTAACAAAACGATAATTATCAGAAGGGGTTTTGTGGAGACTTTAGAAATTTCACTGATTGAAATCATGAGTTAATTGAAGCTAGAACACCATGGAAAACGTGGAAGCACTTGACGGCCGTTTCATCCTAGTATGGGAACCTCAGCAGTGCGAATCCACGACCCCGCACCCCGCGATATTCGAACCCAGGACCCATCAGTCTCGCACCAGGCGTTTAACCAACTAGACCACTGAGCCGGCATTCAACAGTGTTAATGTCTAACCTCAACCAATCCACGAAGTTGCGCCACCGTACACCATTGTCTTCAATAAGTTGATACCTCACAACAGACCTGGTTGAACTCCACTGATAACGGCTTCCCACTAGAACTCCACTGCTTCCAGGTTTTCCATGGTGGTCTAGCTTCAACTGACTAATGATTTCAATCAGTGAAAACGATAATTGTTTATAACACAATCTATGAATATATAAGCTGATAAAACCTTTGGTGTATCCGTTAATTTAAATAAAAAAAGAACAATTTTTCCAAATACACTTTATTTGACTAAATGTTGGACATTCTTATTTATTCATTATAGAAGTCGAAAACAATATCTAATAGCGTTACATGCGTTAGAAACTAGACACAAGAATAATTTTGAAGGGATCAAAATACTTCAGAAAGGTTTTACCACTCATAAAGAAAGATTGATATCAGGTGTTGTATATATGGACGAATAAGAACAGTCTAAACAGAAAGGATCGTATTCAGCTAGTAACTACTTGATAAATATTTGTTAATAAGTAATTGGACCCATTCTTTATTCAACCTGTTTATTTCACATGTATCGTTATTCTGACTGGAATTAATGTGAGTTATTTTTAGAAATACAATTACGTAATTTCAACAGTTGAGATCATGAGTCAATTGAAACTACATCCCAACTGTTGAAATTAATACAATCTCCACAAAACCCCTTCTAATACAATTATGCATTTGATGATTCTCATGCACATCAATAATTCGGCAACAGTTTTTCAACCTTCAACTTACACTTATTTTTCCTTCATATGAAACACATTAATACCTAATATTAACGGTTAGTGACTCAACCTTACAAATACATACACACAAACATACACAATTCGTTCAGTCATTTATTTTCACATTGTGAACTTTTCACGATTCGCATTCAACTGATTCATGTCAGCATCCAAATTTGATTGCATTAGCACGGTGTAGATTTGATCTGATTTGATTGTTAAACGCTATATATTTCTTTCATGGTATTAACTGTGATTATTACCCTGAATAAGTTCAGATAAGTATACTGGACGAACCGTTCGAATTACTTAAGTTTCACTCTCTAATATTATTTCAAATATAGTTTTCACATATAATGACTTCTCTGTACTCTGCGCACAATTCTTGTCAAACTATTCGTCCTAATCTTGACGAATATTTGAATAAAATATCTGATTATTGTAATAGAACTAAAATTTTGCAAACATTCAAGTTTCAGAACGCAAACGCTTAGTCGCTAAATTAGTTACTCAGTACTGCTGTAGTGAACGAGAACAAAAGTCGGGACAATCAAATCTACATTAACACAAAATTACAGAACATATTAGTAAAATCTGAGAACCATACAGTAAATACTTCATTTGCAAGATGTCAATCAATTGTCTCAAACATGACTGTCCCTTTCGCAAATGTCAATCAATCGTCTCAGACTTCACTGTTCCTTCGTTTCCACAGCAATCATTCTCTGTTCTCATTCTCTTTTCTTTGATCTTCTTAACCTTCTGCTGCCAGATATTTCACTTTCGATTGATAATACATACTACTTATATTTGTCAACATCTGTAGCACACAACATACTGTCACAACCTACATACTTCCCAACTTCAATTGTTATTTATCTTGTAGTCATAGACAATTTCATATTTTAGTTAAAGCGCTAGTTACACTACCAGACAAAGATTTTAGATGATATAGTTTAAATAACTGAGATATTTATCATTCTAATTCATGTTTAGTGACCAATTCCTATAAAGCAATTGGTTCAAATTTTAATGAAGGTTAATCTTCAGACATTTATTAACCAAATTACAACTAACCAACAACAATTCAGTTTACAAAATTTATACGATCAATTCAAATTATTATTAGGTTATTAGATTACATTAATAAACTGTTTTTATGATAGATGGATTTGTTTGAAGTTAGATATGTATACCAATGGATGCCGACTTGGGTATGTAATGGTTAGCGACTTGCTGCACAAGACCTAAAGGTCTTGGGTTCGATGAATTGTGGAGTCATGAATGAACACTACTGGGAATTCCTACTATTCGAATGAAATAGATGTTCACTGTTTCTTGGTTTCCATTTGTTGGCCGTGATAGAAAATTATTACTTACTGTTAATCACGAATCTACTTATTAGGGCATTTTGTGTTAAAGATTACGTATCAACTAGATAAATTGAAATATTTTATTAGTTGAACTCATGAATCGATGTATACTAGACCACTATAGGAAACCTGGAAGTACTCGATGACCGTTTCGTTATAGTATTGGACTCCTTAGCAGTGCGCGACCACGATCCCGTACGCGGAACTCGAACCCAGGAAATATCGACCTTGCGCTCGAACACTTAACATCTATACTACTGGTCAAGTATCGACTACATATTTACCATAGAAATTTTTTTAGTCTTAAATACTAATCATTCAGAGAAATGAAAACTACCCAACCGGTGGTTAGTTGCAAATAACTAAATTAATAGCTGGTTAATATGAAAAATTTAATTGCATTCCGTGGTAAATTCAATAAATAGCTAAATATACTTCAAGAGTGATCAATTCTTTGGTTAGAACTTTACTTAAGAACTTAATGTATTTTTACGATTAATGTATCAATCAAGGATAAAATGTTTTATTTCTCATACATGTAAATAGATCAACCATTAAATACATCATTGTAGTTCACAAACTAACTGATTAAATAATGTTAGTATACCGAAAGAATAGAACACATATTATCCTTGTTTTAGGACTTATCAACATTAAGCGTCCAGCACCCTATCAGGATTCGAACTTTTAGATTCACATGACGAGAGTATTATCATTAGGACAATAACTTGTTATCAAATAGTTATTAGACAGTGTTCCCAGTGTTCACTGGGAACACTGGGAAAAATGTTTTTTTGCCTGATTGAATACGATAAAATACTTTGTATTATACCTTATTTGTATGAATATTTACCAGACAGATTTATCCACTTAGGTAAGCAAACAAATAACTATGTCCAATAATCTGATTTTCATGGAACAAGTATACATTCTATTCAACATATACAGCATTGGTAGAAACATTGAGTTGTTTTTTTGGAACCACTCCGGTTTTCAATATTGCTTTCATCACATGCCATGAATAATATTTTGAGCTAAGTTGTGTACATTAATTGAAATAGCTCCAAGGCGTCTAAATAATTTTCTTCAATCAATTAATGTTCATTAAAATTCACTGCAATTTTAAATAGCTTAGAGTAGTAGGATTCAATCAACACTGAAGACTAGACAGTCAGATAATAGTTATGTTCCAGTTACTAACTAATGCAAGTCATGTATGCTTTTCTAATTTGCTGAGTATCGAGTCAATATAATACATTTTATTTGGGAGAATGTTAACTATTCTAAAAGTAATCTAACAAACTATACAACTACGAAAACTATTAGAGATTATATTTCCTAAATGATTGTTTTAATATTTATACTGTTGTCATAAAGTTGGATAGTGGCTAGCAGTGGAATCCAAGACACATACTTCATTTTATTTGAGACTAGTTCGATGGACGTATTCGAATCTTAATGGTGATGTTCACCGATCAATTTACTTTTTAATATCAACAACAGAAAATATGAACTTTCATGTTCAACCCATCTACTTTGTACAATCCAATAGATGTTTAGATTCAACAGCCCAAGGTACAACGTATTAGGCTTTTGAAGTAAAAGATGCTTGATTTAAATCCAGGTATGAAAATGGACATGGAGATGAAGGTACTTTTGACTGCCAAGTTCAAAAGAGGAGTTGCGTGTCCTGGATCCTACTGCTAGACATTTTCCAACTTAACTACATGTGATTATCTGGTGAAGTCGAGGCAATCCTCTCATAATGTAAAAAAGCCAAATTGACAGATTAACTGCAGTTCGTAACTTCAACGGGAAGACATAACCACTTAGAAATTTGCGTTATTATTTTATGAATTTATTAAAAACCATTGATTATAGAAAACTTTTGATAATGATCATTGATAAGAGAATGAAGCAAACATAAGGTAAATTTAGTTAGTATTAAAGTTTAAGATAGAATGAGTAACATGAAATCTTAATAGTGCTGTGTTCTCTGATTTGGATCACTTAACTTTAAAGCTTTCATTGTCTTTTTAATCAACATAATCAGGACGAGCTAATAGAAGAGGTGAAGTGTTAGATTTTCTTCCTAGACTACTAAAACCTAATTATTACAGAGTTTTGCCAGATTAATTAAACTATCGAGCTGTGAGAAAGTGAAACCTCACAAAACTTACTCCTGACCTACTAGTTTCCATGTAAAGAACATATCACAAAGAGCATATATAGTTACCGTTTTGGTGTCAGTGTTGTGGGTGCTACTGATGTTGACATATATAAGTAGTATGTATCACCAATCGAAAATGAAATAATTGGCAACAGACAATTAAGAAGATCGAATAAAAGAGAACGAGAACAGAGAATGAATGCTATCGAAATGAAGGGACAATCAAGTCTGAGGCAATTGACTGATATTTTACAAATGAAGTATTTACTGTATGGTTCTCAATTTTTACCAAGATGTTCTGTAATTTTGTGTTAATGTAGATTTGATTGTCCCACACTTGTGTTCTCATTCACTACATCAAAAGTGACATTTTTTATTCCAAATTAACTCTGGAAATGTAAACGGGTTTTAAGTGGTCTAAAGATGTTAATCCCGATGCACATCCCCTGATTCCTTAGGTTAGATCTCTGTCTGGGTCTTAAATTATTCACATCTGAGGTATTCAATACTAGAATCAGATAACCATTCAATCCATCGGTGACATAACCAAACATTTATGCTTGCTCAAATCCATTTTTTATTTAATTATTGTTTTAAAATATAGTTGGATTATCCACCTATATATTTAATCAGCTGAAATAATAATAGTTGTTTATAAAAATAAATAAATACTCTTACCGAATTCGTTTTTCTCTTCTCCAACATCCCTGACATCTCTCTTTTCGACGTCTTAGTAGATCACCATAAGATGAATGTGCTGTGTAACAAAAATACAATTTTTCATTATTAATTATATTTGAACTAAAAATTTATAATCATATAACTAGTATTAAATTATCAGAAGGGGGTTTTGTGAAGATGTTAATAATTTTAATAATTAGTTCGTGGATTAGTTGGAGTTAAACATTAACATCATTGGATGTCAACTCAATGGTCTAGAAGTTAATCGTTCGTTCACGAGACCGATATGTCCTGGGCTCGAGTCCCGTGGGTAGTAACGGCCATGCATGCTGCTGAGGAGTCACATACTAGAACGAAACGTCCGTCCATTACTTCCATCTTTCCAACACTTGTTTAACTTTAACCAACTCATTAAATTCAACTAATAATATTAAATTAATATTAGGTTTCTTAACAGAATTCAGTTTATATTTTATTACTTTCATCAAATTATGAATATGTTCATAAGATTAATCGAGTAAACAATGGAATTCATTCACTTGAATTTTGTTTGTTTGAAAAGAATAAATAAATAAATAAGTAAACACTAGATAGACACTTTAAACTAAAGTTGAAAACAAGCTATTATCAATCATACCATTTTTTTATTTTGTTTCTAGGGTAAACAGTTTTTGATGGAGTTTTGTTCTCTGAGATGGATAGTTTGAACTCCATCAAAATTATCCATCTGAGATATAAATCTTCTTCACCATCTCAGGGTAAATAGTTTTAGCCTTTTCTCAAATTACGTTTGATATACAAAAAGAAAAGAGAATAGGTGACTTGAATGGTATCAAATGTTTTTTTTGTTTTTATAGATTGAGATAGTTGTTATTTTTTTCTTAAGAAAGAGTTTGAAGATGTTGGGTAATAGAATTATTAGTTTATTACATACAATACTTCACCCTTGTAATTTATAAAATATCAAAACAACTAATAAACATAACAGAATAATATGAATTTGTAGTTGATTTTGGAGTGAATCAACATAATGACGTTACTGTGTTTACCAAACGAACTGTTTATTTTGACTAGGGTTATGAATGGATGAATGTTAGACCACCATTGGAAACATGGAAGCATTGGACGGTTTATTCGTCCTAGTATGGAACATCTCAGCAGTGTTGTCCAGTGCTTCCAGGTTTTCAGTAATGGTTTTACATTGATCCATTTATGATTTCAATCAAAATTCTACAATTTCCACAACCCTATACCGATAAACTGTTTATTGAAAGTGGTAAAATTAGACAGATTTCAGTCTCATGTTGTTTTTTATCGTGTATACAGAAACACATCATTTTAATGTCATGTCAATTCAATTGTACTAGAAGACTTATATCTGGCAGCAGTTAAGTTTTCATTTACTGACAATATATATATAAACTTGAATAAAGCATGTAAGCGTTTAAAAAATTCTGACAACGTCAAAACAAATTAAACCTACATTTAGATTCTGCGAATAATACCGAATCCTCAAAATTCGAGTCATTGAATGATGCATCTTTACCAGTCTGTTTAAGTCGTTGTTTAGCCGCTCTTCGACGAGCTAAGAAGATACAGAACAAAGAAAAACTTGTCTTTATAATAAAGAAAGTCATGTACAGTATGGAAGTATTTGATATGGATCAAAATAATGTTCACTTTTAAATCGTTTACATTTTATTCGATAATTTTTTTCAAAACGTTAATTGTCTTATGCTTTTTTTGTTATCTAATTACGAAAAATGTACGATAATACGACTTACCGAATATCACGTTCATGATAATTTGAGTTAGCTTCTTTTAACAAGATTCGTTTGTGTAAAATGAGGCAACTCGCCTATGCTCATCCCTAGTTTGTTCGAGTTTGAGATGGGCAGCAACTCAAGAAGGTGTTTAATCGTGTTGATTATGTTAATGCTTAACTTTCTAGTTTTATTATTAATTAGAATTCAAGAAATAAATGTGGAAAACCCTAAAGCAATTGGCTTTTTTTGCATTTGATTCATAAGTAGACTGCGAAATATCAGCAGTTGAGTGAATCTTAAACTGTAAGCCGTTAGATTCAAGTTCAGAGTCTTAAGGGTAAAGTGATCAGTGAGGATTTTCACCAAACTATGGTTTCATTTGATTCAGAGAAGGTCGAAAATTTAGCATACTGCTAACTTGAATTATACAAATATTGGGTCATTATAAATAAAAGAGAATTAGACAGCTCTTGCTTGCACGTTCGTAGTCATTATTCAAAGTCTGATGACTTTACATAGGATTGGAACCCGGATCTATAAATTTCGACTCTGGCATGACATCAATAAAACATAATCAAATAGTTTGCATTTTCGAATTTAGTCCCCCAGTCAATATCACGAGTGAATTACTATTTCAGTCATGACTTGTACGAATCTAGTAATCACTACTTCCAACTAGAGTTTGATGAAATTCATCGCATATCCAATCACTATTTAGGTTTACACTAATTGACATCAGCAAGGGAAACGCTTGAAACAGGGGAGAACAACTGTTTTGTCCATGTTTTGAAGTCCTCAACAATATCCTTTTAGGCTTATTGTATTCTGACTTCATAGTCTGAAAGTAATGAATTATTTTAAAGAGATCTGAGTGATTGAAGCTTAATGTTTATCAGATTCACACGTTTATACTGGTGGTGAATCTCAAACCCCCCTTTTTTATACTACCAGGCTATTAAATGATTCTTCAGTTGATTTTAGTTTTACACATGACACTTTCAAACGACAATTTTTACAACCAAGCATCTTATTACTTTATTAAATATCCCTTTAAATTATGCACCTTTCTGATGACTCAATTATAAATGCTTAATATTGTCATTAAAAATTGCTGTAGAATGATAAAATAGAAGACATTATACGATTTCTTCTTTTCTCTACGTTTTACGCTTGTTAACGACCTGTAAACTTCCAACTACCAATTGGAAATAGGACTTTGGATAACTGCTTAGTTTATTCATAATAGTGCATGGATTTAACACAACTACCAGATTAAACTCCAGTTATTCCTGTTCCATTTCCATTTATTGATGTATGTGATGCGTGATATCCAAATAGGTTTGACGGCGAGACTCTAATTTATGGACGACCTTTGAACGAATCTTAAGTAACCTTGAGAAATATTAGCCAATTAGTAAACAATCAGTATGAAGTAAAAATATATTATACAAAACCAAGAAAATAAAGTGGATACACTTCTTATACGTGGTTCAAAAACTTGTCAAGTTTAAAAAGAGGTTCGTAATGCATGCAGTAGAGGAAATCATCCATACGGCTACAGAATAGTCGGCCTCTGGAACCACGATAAAGTCTCAAAAACTCTTTCAGCCTCGACCACATAGTTTCAATGTTGTTTATATGCACTCTGGTTGTTGAGTACACAAAACGCCACTTGTGGATAACGACATGATGCACACAACCAATCCTATGTAAGAGTTTGTACGCTCTCCAAACATTCGTATATATTGTAGTATCTGGCTTCAGCCAGTGTTACTGTTGCTTTTATTATCCAGTTCGCGATAATTGTCATAATTCGCCTTAGTTAAGAATTATATATGGGGTTTTCATCACGAACTGACATCAGCTATAACGCCAAAACTCTGTTTAGTCAAATGGGTGAGTGAATTTTGCGCCATAATCTGAGATCTATTATCTTATACCTGATTGTTTCATCCACGAATAATAGACTGGCCGTTTCATTTGTTACAGCCGCTCATTTATTACGTTTTGTACAAAGTTTCTTGTGAACCGATCGTACGTTAGCATTAAGCACTGAAGTTGGCGCCGTGACCTTAAAATCTCTCAAACGCTTCTGATTGGCTCGTCCATAAATTAGAGTCTCACCAGTTGTTTTGACTAGTTGATCTGTTTTTCGGAGTCAGTACTAATAAATTGATTCTATGAATAATTATTACATGGTCATATGAATTATATCAATTCAGGTAAATGATTGCGTAATCATAAATTCATACATTATTGAATTGTGATAAAATCATCATTTTTTGATCGTTAATTGATGATGATGATGAACGTCATAATAACCATTGTAATCTCGACCATTCATAATTAACATTTTTGATAGGGTAATATATTTCCTTTTATCTTTTTATGCAATTGATGAGAATCGACAAAAAATATAATGAATTCATACTCTAATCATTTTTCGCCCTATTAGTTTTCTTGCCTTATGTGAAACTTACTATTCGTCGATTACTGTCACTTATCTATTTATTTCTTGTTTATAAATTACTGTGGAAAGTATGTACAATGCATAAATCATCAAACTGTATCATGAGGCAAGAGCTAACTTGGAATCCTGAAAGTTAAAGGTAAGCAGGGAGACCAAAGGACATACTGAGCCGATAATCGAAAGCAGACATTAAAAGAATGAATAACAACTGAAAACAACTGAAAAAGATTACCCAGGACATAGTTCGATGGAGAATCGTAGTGAGCAACCTATGCTTCTCCACGAGTGGTACAGGCGTAAATAAGTAAGTTATAGATTATTATTCGTAATTTTATTTCGACGTGTCTAGTATATAATAAAACCAGAGTTATGAACCAGAGTATTCATAAAATTTCTCCGACTATTGAACTATAACTAAAACAAATGACAGAATTTATTCAACTAAATTATAGTGTATGTATGAAACACTTTACAATCTTAGTTCATATTTCATAATATTTACCTGATATAATACGCATCCGTTCATCTGCTGTAGTAGTATCTTCAGCCAAAATTACCTCTTCTACATAAAGAGAAAAAAAGATAGTTTGTTATTATGATAGATAAGGGATCTGTCCAAATGTTTGTGTTACTTATTTACCAACTGTGCAAATATCATAGTTAAGTTACCTGTTTGTTTAAACTGAATAATGATAAATACTAATTGTATTTAGTTGTGTGCTATCATAAAAAGAATACTAAGAAATAATAAAGTTTACTTGACACATTTTCTTTTTTGTCTATCCTTTTGCAGGACGGCCATCAGTAAACTCAATGAAGGTCTACAAAACTCTGAAAGTGCTGAAGTCATTCTAACCAATCTCTTTTGAAAAAACATTCGATAATCTCGACGTGTAGATTCCAGATTGGACAAATGCTGAAACCCACTGTATGTGGATTGGATAACTATAATGATGATTTCATTTTTACTAAAAGCTATAAATACTTCAGTTTTCTGTATCATACTCAAAACTGTTTTTTTTGGAATAAGATTCTTTTCTACTCGTCTTCTGACTTCCAACTTTTGAGTTGGAGGGTTCTAGAATTCAAGTGCTCAAATTGTACGTGATATAGCAAGAAAACTATAGGTTCCAGATATAACACTTTTAATAAAACAAGAGACAATTTAAATCAGAACTCAAATAATTTTGACTTAATAACCGAAAACTAGTTTTACCAACTGAACCGACTACTAATAAGTAACTGATATAGACTGTTAAGAATATTTTTTAAAACATATTTTGAATAATTACAATAATAAGTGTAATATTAAACAATTTAGAATACTTTTATTGTACCAAAATTGATAGTGAGATGGTGAAGAAGATTTGTGGCTCAGGTGGATGACTTTGATGGAGTTTTGTTCTCTGAACTGGATGGTTTGGTTATGGAGCTTTCATCGTTCTTGTGAACAAAATCATCAGCACAAACTTCAAGTAGAAGTGAAGTGTTCGAATTTCTCTACATATGGTTCACAGCTTGTCCTGTAGAACTTGATGTTGATTGGCTTTTTGTTGATCAACACTTCACTTCTATCTGAAGTTTGTGCTGATAATGTCATTCAGAAGAACGATGAAAGCTTCATGACTAAACCACTCAGCTCACAGAACAAAACCTCATCAAAAATTGGTATTACTGAGTAATACTATTATTAATATGTTATAAATAAAATATAATGATATAATAAAATCAGTTAAAATTTAACAGTTAAGATCATGAGTCAATCGAAGCTAGACCACAAGTACTTCCAAGTTTTTTATGGGGGTCTAGCTTCAATTGACTAATGATCTTATCTGTTGAAACTACTACAATCTCCACAAAACCCCTTCTGAATTGAAATTTACTCATGAGATTAACTTGTTGACATGAGTTCAAATTCAAGTGAATATCAAAATACAAAAAAGAAGAAACAAACTGGAGATCAGAATTATTATTCTTCTCTTTCAATATTCAAGATGAATATTTGGAAGATATAAGCTTTTTCTAGGTCATTCATAGGTTAATAAAATGAAAACTTGACAATGAAACTTAATCATAACTTTTTAAATCAAATTTAATTAGTTAAAATCTTATAAATAAAACTTCAATGAGACAGTTTTTAACTTTAACCTTAAGTGAAATAGAATTAGTTCTTAAAACAATTAGTCCCTTTGATAAATTTCGACAATGCAATGAGAAGATGAAGTTTATCAGAATTATGTGATATATATTTGCGCAATACATTTCGAACAATCTGATCACACATATACTTGTTAAGAAGATTTATATATGAAAATTCTAAGGTCAACTAGACAGGTTAAAGGTAAGTCATAACAACAAAGGGAAAATATTAACGTACACAAAAACAATTGTGATTACCACTCTGGATAATAAATCAGTATTACCAGGGTAGGTTAAGTGTGTAAGGACAAATTGTTTTTGAACACATAAAGGGGGTTTCAATTTCCGTATAACCAAGGCTTCAATAAACCTTAGTATACGTTCTTGAAGGCTTTTGTATAACACTACAAATGCTGATTTGACATCAACCTTATGACCCGTCTCAATCAAATGTTTCGCAATGGAAGATGATGTCTGTCTATTCTGTGATTTTATTTGACCATTAGAATCCATTTTGGTATGTGTTCACCCATCTTTAATTGCAAATTACGATGCTTAACAAACTTGAATAAATATTCAGGAATTTGTGTTTACTGATTCACTGTCTGAATGGCTACTTGTAAACTGAACCTGTGAAATTATTTTATTGCACACATTGTTTAAACAGAAAATGAGATGATAAAATAGCTGAAGAGAACAAAATTCGAAGATTCACACGGATGCTTTACATAATAGAGATGAAGGTAAAAAGAAATGTTTTACCACAAATTTGAAATAATTCGAAAGAGATAAGCTTGATTTTATGCACTATACATTTTGTAAAATGAGGATTTTACGATCTTAGTTTGTGTATATATGAAACATAAGAACAAAACAATATTCATGATAAAATCGAGAGATTCATTACTAAATTTATCGAGACCAATGTTTTACATAATATATATTAATGTTTTCCTGAAATTTTAAATAAAAAAGAATCTCACTGATTGAAATCATGAGTCGATTGAAGCTAGACCACCATGGAGAATCTGGAAGCACTGGAAGGCCGTTTCGTCACAGTAGGGGACTCCTCAGCAGTGCTCATCCACTATCCCATCCACGATTCAATCTGTGAAATTTCTAAAGTCTCCACAAACCCTTTCTGACAAAAAAAGAATCAGCCTGAATAATATGCTTGATGAATTAAATATGCCTTTCGATAACTTTCGTTGCAAACTTAATCCTTATAACATAAAAAGTACTTTCCCACTACATAATTTAATTATGAGAATAGCTATCGAAATGGTTAATCGTTTCTATTAATTGTGCAGTCTATTTGTTTCAAATAACTAATAGAAAATAGTATTTCGATTATTTTTTCGAATGAACAGTTGGTCATTTAATCAGAGTCCTACAAATTATTAGGAGAAGTATATCTCCATTCCAGCAAATTATTTTGTAAGGAGACAAGATGAATAGCTTGACGATTGTTGGTTTAACCTATGTATGTATTATAAAACACATTTAATCAAAATACCATTCAAAAGTTATTAAAACGTTTACATTTCATTTTTATACTTAATTCAATACCAAATAATTGGAAAACACCAACAGTGTATTTGATCTTGTATGTATTGCATAACTTTTTTATATGGCTGATATTCACATTCTCCATGTAAAGTAAAATACCCCCAAGACTTTTTTATGTTATTTACCAATCATATGTAATAACAAAAGCTGATTACCATAGAACTACTAATTATTGATGAAGATAAATCAAATGCTTCACAACTTCTATTTTCATCCCAGAAATCAAGGGAACCTTAACTCGTAATGTATTGTAGTTGCCAAAGTGGGAAAAGGGGAATTATTATCATAAGATTTTATTCAACGAAAAACTGTATAATTATCTCAGAAAGATATTGAAAATAACTATAGAAGGAGATTGTACATTTGAAAATTTCCCATAGATTTCGTTTACTGTCATTTGTAATAAATACTGACAAAATGAAATAAACAAACTCAACAGACTAATATATATTTTTTGATTGAGACCACCATTGAAAACCTGGAAGCATTGGACGGCCGTTTCAGTACAGTGGAAGATGGTCGCACAATTTCGTGGATTGTTCGAGGTTAGATATTTACATGGTTGAATACCAGCTCAGTGGTTTAGAGGTTAAGCACTCGCATGAGAGACTGATAGGTCCTGAGTTCGAATATCGCTAGGCGGGATCGCGAGTGCGCAATGCTAAGGAGTCCCATACTGGGACGAAATGGCCGTCGAGTGCTTCCAGATTTTCAATGGTAGTCTAGCTTAGTTTGACTAGTTGATTCAAATGTGAAAAAAATGCAATATCTTAAGTAAAAGATTCATAGAAAATTTGATAATACTCACATTGATGTCATCTTTGTAAAAAAGTTAATAAGTTTTTTTTAAAATTAGTCCTGGTCATCCAAAGCCTTCTGTACAATACAATGTGTAGAATTTCTTAAAAGATCCCACTACTTCAAGTAATCATCCTTAGTTCAGAAAGTTAACAGATAGTGAAATGATATAATGAACAGGACTTTTATTCAAAGTAAGCACAGATGATTTTATTTGTCATGACAGTGGAAGCTCAGTGAACAAAAAAACTATGAAGAACAGGAAACTTATTAATGTCAATAAATAGGGAATTAATACATTCAATTACTATTATAAATGACTTCCAGTTGGAACTTATAGCTAAATGTTTAAACATTGAATTTAGTTTTGTTGAGTCGGCTTCCGAGAACTACAGCGGAGCCTCCAGAGGATTTAAAGGAGCCGAAGAATTTTAGTCAATCATAGCATGAGGGAGCTTTCTGGAATATTAACGTGGTATGCTACTATTGGTCAGTAGCATAATATGTCTCTTAGCGGATTGGCCAAAATATAATGTTAATTTGACAAATGCTAATGATCTATAAATACCCGTTTTTCTGTACAAAAACGAACCTTTGGAGTAAAGCGCTTCACGCTTAATTTGCGCCTTTTCTCTTGTGTTCAGGTCGTTGCGTAGTTCTAGCTTGCGGGTTACCAGAATAACTTAGGAATCGAATAAAGTGTTCAAATTAGCAAGACATATCAAGTTTCCATTTACAATTAAGAAACGATAATTATTTTTTCAAACGGTTATCAATTATAAAACTTTGATGGGCAATTTTATTCTTTTCTAATATTTTCTTATATTGTCAACATACATAATTGAATACTGTGTGAAAGAAAAAAAACAAATACATTACTTACCAGCTTTTTGAATCCAATCCATATATCCACTAAATTCTTTTTCAGTTTGTTGTTGACGACGTAGTTTTAAAAATGCACGACGTTTTTCTACACGTTCTCTTTCTTTGGCAAATTCACTATAGAGATTTTATAAATGTTCAAATAGAAGGAAACGGAATGTTTTATTATTATTAGTTTTAAAACAGAACGAAACTCGCGTCCTGGATTCCACTGCTAGCCACTATCCATCATTGCTTACAAAAAGCTTGTGAATTAGGGCAATATCGAGGCATACGCACAGTAAGCACATATGCCGATAACAGACTGATCGATTGCAGTCTTAAACCTCAATGGAAAGATACAAGCCAAATAATACCAAGTGAATTTAAATTCACCCCATTGGACAAGCAAGTGGCTATCAGGACTCAGTAGCTGAGTGGATAACGCGATGGCGTTTGAAGCGAATGTTACTGGGTTCGAGTCCCAGAGTGAACGTCAACTCTGAGATGCAGGTACATCCAGTTGACGAGTCCCAAATAGGACGAAACGCACGTCCTGAATTCCACTGCTAACCACTATCCATCATTGCTTATATTATTAAAGTAATTAGTTCAAGTTATTTTATCAGATAATCACTAATTACATCTTTTCATTACAGATAATTATGAAATGTAAATAACTGTCTTTTTTTAAGTGTAATACCTTTTAATTAAATATACTTGAACTTTAAACTAATGAAATTATGCTGTTGTCTCTAAATTAACTTCAAAAAGAACAAAAATCTCAAGTACTTAGTTCGAAACAAAACTTTTAAGCAAAGAACTTGGTTCAATTCGTTAACCAGAGTTTAGTACATTTTGAATTAACAATTAGATAAATTTCAGATTTTTAAGCTAAGTAACATGTAATGAATACCAGGAAGCAATGACTAGATGTTATGTTTTAATATGCAACTTCTCGGCAGTGCTCATCTACAACATAATCAGGAATCGAATCTAGGACCTACTGGTCTCGCTTCTAATGTTTAATCTTTATACATATGAGTCGGAATCCAAAGTTCATATTTCTAGCTTCAGTCAATTAAGGTAAGCAACAATCCCAAGAATAATGGAATGTTAATGATAAAATAGGTTAAAATAAAAAAATTAAAGCAAACAATAAAGTTTATATATACATTTCTATGTAAATATAAATCAGATTAGTTTATAATTTAGACTATAAGTTATAAATAGGCAGCTAAATAGTAAGCTGAAAATGTTAACCAATCGGATTTCGCTCAATGAGACGTTAAAATGATAATCATTTTATAATACGATTTCCATTACTGTTGCTGCCACTTCCCTTAAATATCTAACCTAAAATGTATTAATGATTAAAACAAAATGATTGAACCGAATTAAAACAACTCAAACTTACCCACTTAGAACACCAAGTACTAGATTTAACATAAAAAATGATCCAAGTATTATAAGTGGAACAAAATATAGATAATTGAAACGATCACCAAATGCATCATTTGTCTAATAAAGAAAAAAAGAAATGAGCCATGAAATAAAGAGAAAAAAAGAAAAGAGAAAAAGAAATCACTATGCATTTAAGCTCTCTTTGTGTTGATCATTTTTAAAATGTAAATTTTTTTTCTCTAATCTATTTCTATGTGTACAATTGTAGTTAATGGGATTTGTAAGTTGAATGATTGACAGTTTTGGAAAAGAAAATACTGTCAATAAACATTTTGTTTTGTAAGTGTGAACTAATTTAAAACAGTTATGTTTGTATTCACTTGAAGAGTAATTGTAGATTTGTCTAATAATTGAGTGTTTCTTAAGTAAACCTTGTATCATGAAGTGACTAGTGTTAATGACCTAGTGTAAAATTTATCACTGTTTCACTAAGTTTATGACATGACCACAGATCCTAGGAAATATGCTCTTAAAATTGTAAAACGTGACAGACCGCTGTATTGTAACTTCATCGTCAAACTGAACCTAGAACCACATAATCTGACTGCAAGCAAAACACTCTTTATCTACTTAGTTTAAATCCAACGAGCATTTTTATTAATTCGATCAGGTCAAAATGGTTAATTAGTGTACCAATAATTTAGGATAATGATACCTCTGCAATACAGATCGATTGAGCTTGACTCAAATTTATCAGTACAATCATTTTGTGTCCTCCTGACCTGTGTTCGATCTTCTGTAATGTCAAGACTGCATACTGTTAACAAATCTTATAATAAAATAAACGGATATCCAGCGTTCCTTGGTTTTCATTTTTAAATCAATATGTCACGTAACTGAACTTTGTATATCATCAACCTGACAATCAAGAACACAATGTGAATTTCGACGCAGCTACAGACTAGTTTCAGCAGATTACAATAAAATTATTACATATGATGGGTAAAATTTGTCGCCTTATATACTTCATACACTTGTGTGTTTATTTGATGGTTCAACCAAAGGTATTATGATTATTCTCATCTGGTAAAATAATATGGTTAGCCAATAAGTGTTCATTTAACTACAACCTAACGTGATGGCTCTAGCTGATGTTATTTTGGTTTGATAACTACTGTTAAATAGTACAAATCTTTACAAATCCAAGTAAGTGAAAATACTGAACTACAGTTTATTAAGTGTATAGTTGCTCCTGGTTAACTCATAACCATAAAAATCTAAACTAGTACGTTACTTTGTTCCTGCAATTATTAATAAGGGGTTATGGATATACCCTGATAGAAAGATATTACAGTTATATTGTAAAACATTATGTTTAAGTAATTACTGAAAGTGAGTGTAAGTCGATTAAGATTTATGTACTTGAAATCAACTATGAACAAATATTTCTAATACTAACAATTTCGATAAATTCTAGCTGCATGTCAAACCGTACTCACTTTCATCAAATATATCTATTCATTCGATCATGAATAATATGAAATACATAGGTAGAATACTCTCGTGAATGCTTATCAAATATAATGCCACGTTGTAAAGAATGTGTTGTATGAAGTTATATGTCATGTGAACCAATTAATTCAAGCTTAATAGAATAAGTCCCACTTTCTCATACTTAAAGACTGTCAGTCGATGCAATCAGAAGGTATAGGTATGTCATTCAATCCGAATTAACAACTGTTAAGATGAAGGGAGAGGTTATGTAAGTGTTTCTCTGCATTTATTGTGTGAGGAGTATTAAGCATTCTCTGGCAATTTTTTTTGTTTGACAAGTGGTTAAGTACTGCACATAGAGACGTTACGTTCACTGGTGATTTTAATTAAAACTTCAGCATTTGCTTTTATTTGTTTGTTTTTTATATCTGGCATACTGGAATGAGCAACAGTGACGTGCTCATAACAGATAAATATGACTAACTGAATGTTGTGAACAATGAAACAAAGAAGCTATCACAAACAACGGAAGCTATTTTTGGGGGTGTTATTTCATTTAATTCAAAGTTTGTGAAATACTAACATTTATTTTTTCCCTAGTTTATTATTACAAACCATAAGCTTTCGTTTGATGTATGGTTCACTGCCATACCCTTTTCTGTTCCAATGCCATTGTAATTTAAACGTAACCTTTGATACTTTATTTTTCTACCGTAATCCCCAGTTTTTGACATGATTGTATTTTTCTAATTGTTTGTGCGTTGTGGTTGTGTTAGTCATTTATTTATTCATAGGACTTTTGCGCTAATCTGAATCGGAGTGTAATCAGAATCGGGAATAAATCAAGTTGACTCGTCTTTTCTCTCTCGCTTGTCAACCAGTCAGCTGATAGAATGCTTTTCACCTCTCTTACAAGGCAGTTAGTCTCATTTCGAACTCAAGCGATTCTAGCCTCAAGTTTGAACTATTCAAGGTCTTAATCTAGACTGAGACAAGTTATCTTCTGTATATTAGTAGGTATACAGATCAAAGAGGTAACACTGAAGTTGCTTGAAATGAAATTCCCAGTGTATTGGACTTTTATTGGACAATGAGAAACAGATGTATAACTTTGCACCAAAATGAAAGCATATGACAAGTTATAACAAAACTCCTGTCTAAAAAACCCATTAAATCACTGGATCCACCTGTACTTATAAATATGGAATTGTCCAAAAGAAGTAAAAATTATTCTTTATGTTTTACTCCATCAAAAAATAACTGATAAATACTTACTGAATACATTATTTCCGTCCAACCTTCCATAGTGATACATTGAAATACAGTAAGCATAGCGTAACCAATATTATCAAAACTAGTTATACCATAATTTGGTCCTTCCCAATAACCTTTACATATATAATTTGGTGGGCATACAAATGCTCCATGTGGTAAAGAACCTGTACTAGTTGCTGAACCATTTGAAAGACTGCATGGTGCTAATGTTGGTCGATTCGGTAAAGAAATTGGTAAGTAGTCTGGATTATCTAAAATATTAAAATTATACAGTGTATACAAGAAGTGAGAATAAATCTATGTTCCTCTGAAGTGTTAATCATCATAAAAAACTCATATATTTCGTTGATAATTAATCGTATTAGATTATTCAAAGATATTGGAATAAATAAACTTCTCATTATTATGTTGATTGAGTAGTATATTTCAACTGTGTCGGGATTACAAGAGAAATTGTTTACCAGATTATCATCAGAAAGGGTTTTGTGAAGATTTTAGTAATTTCAATAGTTGAGATCACGAGTGAGTTGAAGCTAGACCACGATGGAAAACCTGGAAGCACTGGACGGCTGTTTTGTCCTAGTATGGGACTCCTCAGCATCGCACACCCACGATTCGAACCCAGGACCTACCAGTCTCGCGCGTAAGCGCTTACCAGATTATTGTCATCCAATATCATGAATCAATTAAACTGAAAACATAGACTATTCGACTTCAATGAGATAGTTTAAAATTATTATTTCTAGACAGGAATTGAAAGTTTCAAATTAATTCTAGTATTTGAACTTCAATTAACAAAACAGAATAGTCCTAAAATTGGATGAAACAATTATTGACTGTTTCTTAGTTTCTAATAATTAGCCAGATGCTCTTTATCAGTTATGGAAATCAACTTTCAAATGAATAATCATTAGCAAATCCCTAACATGAAATTTTCTGTTCAGTTCTCTAAAACTATTATCACATTTAAATGAATGGGTTCGAATCTCGCGAGGCAAGATCGTGGATGGTCATTGCTGAGGAGTCCCACAATAGAACGAAACGGCCGTCCAGTGCTTTCAGGTTTGCTATGGTGGTCTGGCTTAAACTGACTCGTGATCTCAACTATTGAAAAACATAAATTACTTAAAATTCTTGTAGTGAAAGAAATAGAATATATGTTAAATGAGAACAAACAGAAATGATCTAATGGTTTACTAATAAGTTATGTACTATAATATGCTATTTTAAGAAAACATTATGCAAAGAAATTCCACGTAATTTAAAATATGCATTTAATGAGAGTCAGCCTATATAAAATCAGTGTTGATCAAGCACTACCAATCAGATGTATACGTGTATCACTACTGCATGTTTACTACAAATACTACATACATTTCATTATAATTCTTCGTTAAATCATGTTACATCGGTAACATAAAGTAACGGCATTCTGAATGCACCGGCAAGTATTATACTGAATAGAGTTAAAAAGGAAGATTCACAACAATCAACCATTTTATATTGAGACAATATTATCATTTTTCGTAACGACGTCCTGATAGAAATTTCTTTTAAATCATTTACATGGTTAAATAATAGTGTACAAATGGATTACAAGTCAAAAATACTCATGTACTTCAAAAGCTTTAACTTTTTAGAGGTTCATGGCTGAACTATACATCCAAAACCAGTCCTTATAATCCTTCATCTCATTATGGAGCTGACGTTTCTTTAAATTTCACATACTCGGTAACTAAGTGGTAATAATATTTTTAAACGTTTCATACATAATAATCATGTTTTATAATCACTTCCATGCTTTTATCATCATTTTCATACATTTAAAGTAATGACTAATCTCTAATACTTCTGCTTAAATTTTCAATTATTATGCGATAATTTTTAAAGTAAGCATACTCAGATAATGATAGGACACGAATCAACAACGACCAATCAAAATCAAGGTCGACAAAATGAGTTGTTGATTGTACACTTGAAAATTTGAATAGATCATTTCCATCTAAAGTTTGTACTGATGATATTATCCTAGAAAGACAATAAATGTTTCACAGTTAAACCATTGGGTTCAGAGAACTCAACTCCTCTAGTCTTTAGCATTGATCAGATCCTTCAATCTAGATTTCCTACACAAATTTTTGTTATGAGTTTAGTGACTTGATATTTTTAATGTAGTGTGTCTAATGATCTAGTCCCTTAACACTGATCAAATTTTATTCACAATTAGAATAAGTGACTTATATGGAAGTTAATTGGATTACTTAAATCATAATGACATACAATTCATGACGTTTTTATGAAATTCTTCAAGATATATACTGATTACGAGATGTAATCGAAACATACTATTAGTCATTGTATGTGAATTATCATTACAAAGTGGTTATTCTACAAATCGGTTATTTTTGTAATCAAAACGTCCTGTTCTCGTCTCACTAATCTGAGCAAAACCTTTACATAAATCTCCCTTTCCTAAGACGTGATGAAACTCATTGGAAAGTAAAAGAAAAAAGAAAAAGGCATTTCAGTGAAGGAAAAAACAACAAAATTTACAGTTCATATTGTGGTGTGAGCTACTTATATTCATATAAGTAGTATATAACGTGCGTTAAAAGAACGTAATGTCCGGCAGCAGAAGATGGCGAAGATCAAGAAAGGAAGAGCAAGAGCACAATGGAATTGTAAGAAAACGCATGTACAATGGAATGGGCGACAATGGATTAGTGTTTGCAACGGGAACTGTACAGTTTGATATGATATATTTTGCAAATTGACGATTGACTTTATGGTATTCACATTTTATTGAGATAGTCTGTAATTTTTGTGCTAAATACAGTCGATTGTCCCCACCCGTGTTCTTGTTCACTACAATATGATCATCAACAGTAAAAAAAACAAACAAAGTATGTCCACAGTTGAAGTCACAAATCTATCTAAGCTAGACTACTTTTGAAAATCTAGATGGACTGGACAGCCGTTTCATCTCGTGATTTCAACTGTGAAAATACTACAATCTCAACAAATCCATATATTGATAATAAGAAGAAGAAAATTATGCCTCAGTAATATGAAAAAGACGCTTTTTCAACACACTAAAAATGTGTCCTTAAATGACCCATGGTAATAGTAGTTGAAAAATATGTTTTATTCTTAATATGGAGTATAGATTGCATTAGCACGAAATGAATTATTATTATTACTATTACTATTAATAATATTATTACTATTCTTTAAAGTCGTACACTATAGACAAAAAATAATATCAGAAGGGGTTTTGTGGAGATTTTAGTAATTTCAATGATTGAAATCATGAGTCAGTTGAAGCTAGACCGCCATGGAAAACCCGGAAACGTTGGACTGCTGTTTCGTCCTAATATGGAACTCCTCAGCAGTGCGCATCCACGATCCCGCCTTGCGAGATTCGAATCCAGGACCTATCACTCTCACACGTGAATGCTCAGCCTCTAGTTAAAAATTATGTTTTATTCTTAATATGGAGTATAGATTACACTACCAGGAAACGAGTTATTATTATCACTATTGATATTATTATTATTCTTTAAAGCCGTACATTATAGACTAAAAAAAGGTTTTACCATATGTATAGACATTCCTTCTACCCTAATACAAATTGTTCAACGTACTCTTATATGATGCGATCGTAACTTTTAAATTATTTGTTAATAATACAATCTATAATGTATTCATTTTTGATGAAGTTTTATTCCTTGAGCTCAGAGAACAAAACTCTGTCAAAATCATCCACATGAACTACAAATCTTCTCCACCATCTCGTATTCATTTTTCTTGCTTCTAAGAACTATAAATGCTCAATAATATTAATAAATTAAAATCGTCTATTTCAAGGCCAACTATCTGCTTCCACATCAAGTTATTAGTGTATAGAACTTGCTGTTACTTCAACAAGAACTAATGAATTTTTCTATTTTATTATCATAGAAATTAAACGGTAGAATAAATAAATTCACTTGGTGATGTTTTAGTTGTACATTTCCGTTGTTATTTAGGACTGCAATTGATCAGTCTCATGTTGGCATATGTGCATTCTGTGCGGATTTTTCTTGATATAGCCTTAATTCATAAGCTTTTTAAGCATTTATGCAAGTCCTAGATTCCACTGCTAGCCACAATCTACCTCTACTTATAATGCTAATAAACTTTGTTTTTTAATTGAATTAAGAGTTTTGTTACACTGGTTATTTCATTTGATTACAAGCATTTGAAAACAATCCAACACAATATGTTTTCTAATGAAAATCATGGTGTTAATAATAATTTTTAGCAATGTAATAATGATTTATTCAAAAAAGAAAAAAAAAGAAAACTGCATCATTGTTTCACTCACATAAATCAAAGCATGTCATATGAAATCCACCTGAATAGAATTCCAAGCCAATTATTGCAAATATAATTATAGCAAATAATACTAATAAACTAATTTGAAGTAATGGAGCCATAGCTCTAATGATAGATTTGAGTACAATTTGTAAACCTAAAAATAATCGATAAATAAGTAGACATATAAGTAGTATTGTCGTGAGGAAAGTTATGGTAACGTATATTCAGTGATTTTTGTAACGACAAAATAAAAACCGCATTTTTTCTCTAATTTGTCACACTTGATATGTAACCACATTTTTATTCAATATCTATTGTTTTTCTGTATCACTTGTTAAAAAACGATTATAACTGTTTGGATACTTATATACGAATATTCTATCGCGTTGGTTGAAAATATAAAACGCTATCCTGACCGTCTGTTCTTCTGCTTTATTGACCACGCCATTTGACTGAAGACTATAACGGAGTAATAACGTCCTTTTAGGCCTTCCTACACTACGTTGAATTTTGGCCCGGATTATTATTAAATAATACTATTGGATCCAGTCTTTCTCATTACGCCGTTGGTGCCATCTCGTGCAGAGGGATCTTCGTTAATCAAGTGAACTCATTTGTGGTTGTTATCTCAGAGAGCAGCTTACAAGTAACATTCATTTCATAACAATTGTTATTACCTTGTTGTTTAATATACCATTTGTATTCTAACTGTAGTTTGTTAACTTTTGATACATTAACCTTGCGTATTGATATATCTTGAATAAGCTCTTTTGCTGGGATCCACCACAAAGTAAATAAAAGTGAATGTAAACTGTGAATTATCATTTGGATATTTTAATGAATAAATAAGATTATAAAAGCATCGATAACAGAAGATACTTAACTTTAAGAAAGATATATTTTGGATAAACCTAAATACTCATTTCTATATTAGGTGGTTAAATAGAATGGTCAGAAAACCTTAGATTTAGGTTTTATATTAATCGATCATTGTTAGCAAGGCATAATTCTTATCTAAGTGATAGGATTTGTTCAGCACTAAAGAACTAAACAAGCATTACATAAGATATGTCTCTTTTTAGCTTAAAAATTCCCAGTAATTATATACCAATCCATCAGTGAATATTATATGGTGTCTTAATTTAGCTGTGTATCATTTATATTGTATACAGTTTTTACACTATAAATGTTTCAAAACAGCTTTATTGTACAGAATAACTTACTTTCAAAACCAGTTACTAATTTAAGTGGTCGCAATACACGTAATGCACGTACAGCTGGTTGATTTAAGTTGGGGAGAATGTAAGCTAAGAGACTGAAGAAAATTAATGAACAGAAATTGTGTAAATATGTAAAATTACATAATTAAAATATGACAAATACCAATAAGGAGTTCAGAATAATGAAATTCCTGATTACTTGTTTTATACATTTATATACAGATTTAAATCGAAGATCTATTTAATCAACTCCTTGAAAAGTTTTCTTGATAAACTTACAATAAAAACAAGTACCTCAACAGATAAGTTAACAATACATTTTTATTTTTCATGTTCCATAGTAAAATGGATATTTGGATACCTCGAATAATACATCATTTCGTCAATCAATCTTTTGAGTTTGGTTCTTTCGAGGTTAGCCATGAAAATATCTGCTAGGACAGGACTTAACGGACTTCCCATTGTCGGTTTGTCTGTATTTGATATCGTTGAACTGGAACTGAACATGTTTTGTACAAATGAGTAACAGTCGTTTGAATTTTGGTGCACCAGAATTCAAACACGACTGTTACTCATTAATACATTTTTAACTGATTCATTAATCCTAATTTTACAAACTGAATAAAAAGAATGTTTATGCATGGTGGCTAGTATATCAAAGATGACTTTGAGGTCATCTAACGAATACATAGTATTAATTCATGAAATCATTGATTATTAAATTGAGCCATTGTGACAAGGGAAGACTTTTAGGTTAAGATGAACCAGATAATGGAGGTGTTGAGTAATACATCCAGAAGTCAGTTACAGTATAGTAGCTTGTTATATCCCGATGAGAATAATGAATGGTAACTGTTGGAATCTATTTCTGGACTAATACTACACATATATTATTATTGTATAATTTCACAGGTTGAAATCATGAGTCAGTTGAAGCTAGACCACCATTGGAAACCTGGAAGCACTGGACGGCCGTTTCGTCCTGGTATGGGACTCCTCAGCAGTGCGCATCCACGATCCCGCACCACGCGGGGCTCGAACCCAGGACCTACGGGCTTCGCGCGCGAGCACTTAACCACTAGACCACTGAGCCGGCATCCAATGGTGTTAATGTCTAACTTCCACCAATCCACGAAGTTGCGCCACCGTACACCATTGTCTTCAGTGAGTTGTTATCTCACAACAGACCGGTTGAACTCCACTGGTAACGGCTTCTCACTAGAACTCCAGGAGTTTTTCCTGAAATTTCTAAAATTCTCCACAAAACCCATTCTGATAATAATCAACTGCTCACTAGTGACTGACTTCAGGAAAAACTCCTGGAGTTCTAGTGAGAAGCCGTTACCAGTGGAGTTCAACCAGGTCTGTTGTGAGATAACAACTCACTGAAGACAATGGTGTACGGTGGCGCAACTTCGTGGATTGGTTGAAGTTAGACATTAACACCGTTGAATGCCGGCTCAGTGGTCTAGTGGTTAAGTGCTCGCGCGCGAAGCCCGTAGGTCCTGGGTTCGAGCCCCGCGTGGTGCGGGATCGTGGATGCGCACTGCTGAGGAGTCCCATATCAGGACGAAACGGCCGTCCAGTGCTTCCAGGTTTTCAATGGTGGTCTAGCTTCAACTGACTCATGATTTCAACCTGTGAAATTTCTAAAATTCTCCACAAAACCCATTCTGATATTGTATAATTGTTAAATAGGTAAACTATTCATATTCGTGTCCCTCTTATCATCAGCTTTATTTTGACCCATGAACTATTACTACATGATCTAACATTCTTGAGTTATGCCCTGTCTATCAGTTACTATCTCCCTTATTCACAGCCACATTTGGTTAAATATTGTTTCCTTTTTTATGGTACAATGTGGTCTGTTCTGTTTTTTATATAAACCCAGTATGTTTGAAATACACGATTCATATCGCAGAGGCTGAGATTGGTGTTCTAGAATTAACTGGCTGGGCTAGTCTGGAAGCAGAACTAATAAGGACTTTAGATTGCTCGTACAGGTTTTATGCGTCATTGATCCGATCGATAATCACTGCTCTCTAATTGGCGGTCTCATCACGTTATACATTAATAGGACACAGGGCACAAGTTATAACATAACTATAATTGTCCTTCATCTTTCACTAAATCTTGAGTTTTTACATTGTTTTAATGTTCTCTTTTTTGATTGAATTCAATTTTTCCGGAACAATGTTCACTATTATTGTTATTATTAAGAAAAGTGTAGACCACCCAGTAAATGCTGTTCAGAACTTGATGTACATTATCTTTTGCTGGCTTATGTGAATGCAGATAAAGTGAGTTTTTTCTATTTTAACAGATGAATTTTTATTTTACGTTCTATCAGATATCAATCTATACAAGATTGTTTTTTGTTGTCTTTTATTTCCTGACTGATTTTATTTTAACAATCCAATAACCTGACTAATAGATGTGCTTATTGCAGAAAAATGATCTTAAACAGCTGGGTTACCTTTTTTTCTATCGAATATATTTATCTTATTTTTCATTCAGAATGGTGAGTTTGAGATGGTGAAGAAAATTTATAGCTCAGGTGGATGATTTTGATGGAGTTTTTGTTCTCTGTACTGGATGGTTTGGTCGACTAAACTCCAACAAAAAGGATGGTGAGTTATTGTTGAATTTAGCTTAACACTAAAATGTCTGTTTGTGTTAACACAATAAGGATTAATCGACCGATTACCTTAGATTAGTTTTAAGATAAAGTTAGTTAATCTATATTGTCTGAAATTTAGTTTTCTTTCACATATAGAGCATTAAAGCATTTTGTCTAATTATAACAATGGTATCTTCAATGTCTCAATAAATTTTCACTGTTTGACTAACAATTCGTTTGCAAATTACCATTTTTTTCTTTAAATAAACTAGCATTTTGTTTACTAATCGTTATTTTTAGAAGGGGTTTTGTAGAGATTTTAGTAATTTAATGGTTGGATTGATGAGTTAATTGAAGCTAGACCATCACAGAAAACCGGAAGGCACTGGACGGCCGTTTGGTTCTAGTATATGGCTCCTAAGCAGTGCATATCCACGACTATTAGGTCCTGGGTTCGAATCTCGGGGTACGTGATCGTGGATGCTCATTTCTTAGGAGTCCCATACTAGAACGAAACGGCCGTCCAGTGCTTCCAAGTTAATATTTATTTGATAGATAAGATCAATGGAAATAATCTTATTAGTAAACATATTTCTTATGAATCACAGAACATTATTTGATGGTTAATGTAAAATTTAGACCATGATTTTCAATATTTACACAGATAAATTGTAGTAGATACATAGTTGTATAACTTCAAGAAATTTTAATCAACTAAATTCCTTGATAAATTTCCATAAAACAAGACAAACAAATATCGTGAGGAATGAAATGAAGTCATTTCATTACATGTGTTCTAAATCTTCATCAAATTCATATATTTGTCGGTAAAACGCAATGTCCTGGATCGACTACCGTTAAACATTAACACTGTTAGATGATGTTTCGACGGTCTAAGGGTTAAGCATTTGCACTCAAGAGCGAAGTTTCTGGGTTCGATTAATAATAATACAGTTCTAGTGTGTAACTTAAGCAAACTATTCTTAATAAAAGTACAATATACAAAATAGGAAAAATAACAACAACAACCTACCCTGTAACTACCACAATAAAGTCCATTATATTCCATACATTTCTTAAATAAGCCTTACGATGAAATGCAAAACCCAATGCAACAATTTTTAATAAAGCTTCCACACAGAAAATAATTAAAAAATATGTTTCAGTTTGTTCCTAAAAAGAAAACAAACACAACAAACAGTATTATATATAATGGTTTGATAAATAATCAAGAGCATGAATTTTAAGGTGGAGGTTGAAGGTTTTCAACAGGAAACCCTAAACCTAAATTTCTTTCTGCTTGGCACTTGACAGTTAGGTATGACCATAATCGTGAAAAAACTGATGATGCCTAATAAATTCAACCCCATGTCACCTAGCCTCATAATCAGTCCTACAGAAGGTCAGTTTTAGTTCAAATATCTCAGCGGCAACTTTTCTGACTGTGAAGCTGGGAGATACCAGGGAGTGTGATTTCCCTCAAGATGATGGACACACCCAGCTGACAAACTCCATACAACACAAAACTTAGATTCAGGGTTTCCTAGCAGTTACTACCAACCAACATATAATTCACATGCGAAAACGTCCGATATATTTTCTTTATATAATTTACACTTTTGTCATTCATATCATGATATTTGTCAACTAGTAGATTCGTATCAAATGGGTTTGTGTGGATATTATAGTAATTTCAGTGGTTGAGATCATGAGTCAGTTGAAGCTTTCAGGTACTTCCAGGTTTTCCATGGTGGTCTAGCTTCAAATGACTCATGATCTCAACCAATGAAACTAGTAAAGTGTTGATAAGTAAGTTCTAACCCAAATCACCTATTAAGTGGCCCCTAAAATTATTTCTATACTTTAAATAACATTTGTTCTAACAGTTCACTTATACTAAAGTTACATCTACCCTTTACTTTCATTAAATAGTCGGAACAACAGTTTCAAGGGGGTAAAATAATTCTCTGTTTTACTCAAAGGGTCTTTATTGAGATTTATCTAATTTATACACGATATTCTTCGAAGATTGGCATCATTTAGGATACCTTTGAAAACAGGGGAGTAGTAGACCGATACTTTGTCTTAGTATGTAGTTCCTGAGTCTATTTGGTGCAATGTGCTCCTCAAGTTCTAGTGAGTAGTCGTAGATGGGAGAATTCGGACTCCAACTGTTGTGACTAATGGCTTTGAATGGTAGTAGCACGATATCGCAAGTCGTCTGCATTTGAAATTAAACCAGTGAACGAAGACACGACAGGTCTAGTGATTAAGTGTTTGCTTCGAAGCTTGAAGATTCTGTGTTTGATCTTAACTGAAGAGTCCAATAATATGACGAGGTAGCTGTCCGGTGCTTTCTGGTTTTCAGTAGCACTGCAACTGAAATCAATCTTTAAAGAATACTGTGTAGAGACCTCCATTTTTTAAAAAGTCATTTGTGCATGGAGATTCTTCAGCACTTGAAAAATTTAGAAACAAACAAAAGACTGCATTGTTTCTGAATTCATTCTTACAATCATCAGATTAACGTCTCACAATCAGTATGAGAAATTAGAAACTGGTATAGCTGACAGGTGGAAAATGTTTCTCAGTCGGAAAAACATCTTCCTAAGGTAAAAAAAAGTGTGAAAAAATTAAGGTTTGAAAAATCTAATCCAATGATTTCCCGACAAAAAGTAACCTTAAGGTCAGGAAATACAACAATGGTTGAGAGTTTACAGGTATGTCTGTGTTTTAGGTACTGGGACTTTATATATAAGACCTAAGCCTGAAACCAACCTAGTCTTTTGACAACTAGTTAAGTGTTGGATGATTATTTAGGCTTATGTTTTGAATTCCAAATAAGTCAGACTGATTGCTCTCTGGATATCACACGAGAATTTCTGTTCTTTCTTACGGATCGGATCGATCAGCAATCAAAACTATTGATATGGAATTACTTCCAGTCCCAAGATTCCAGCCATTACCTCAGTTAATCTAACTGATGAAACGGAACCATCTAGTTTTGGATATCTCTGATGTCAACCTATTAGGGCACGCTGTCCTCTGTGATATACTATGATAAACCTCATTCCATTAATTATTTGTGCTAATAAATCTATTTTATCAATATTTGGTTCGTGTCTTAACGGTTGAACAAGAGGATTTATGGTCATTTGGTTCAACCCAACCTCCAAATTATTATTCCTTACATCCAGATCACTAATCAATCATCATTTCCATCTAATAATTTCAATTATATGATCAATGATATCTAGAACAGTGTAACAATAAACATACATTAATAAATAAAAATAAATTGCCACAAAAGATACTTACCAGTTTTTCTGACAAGGCTGTTTTATCATTAGATGGTAAATGCATTTCCATAGCTAGAACTATACAATTGGCTAAAATAGTTGAGAGAACCATATACTCGAATGGCGTAAATTTATAGAATAAATAGAGTTAAGGAATAGCTTAGTAAAATATTTTTAAAAAGTTAATGCAACAGTGTGAACAATATGAATATCTATGTGATAATCTGTACAGAGTGGAAATACAGGCTAGAGATATGTTTAAAAAAGACCTAACATTTCCCTAGTTTGTTATCTCAAGTAGTGTTTACCCATAATGTGAAACGGAATTAAATTTGGACTCTTCGAGTTTACTTAGAAATTATCTAAATCTTTACAAAATTAACTATCAATCATGTATTTTTTAGAAATTTAGGTTCTCAAACATTCGTTACTACAGTAAAATGTTAGGGTGAATAAGTTTTAAAAAACATCGTCTTTACTTCATAGTTTACTTCACGAACTAATTAATAACTGCTGAAAACTAGAAAGCACTGGATAGTTTTCGCGTTTAACTCCCAAACACTGCACATACTTAGCTTCACAAGGAATTTCTTCTAATCCTTATGAGAAGCCCAGTGCAGTTCAGCTACGTTAAATATGAGACATCTATCCGCTAGTTACATTGGAGGACAATTGTGTGATATCATAAATTGAAGTTAAACCACTGGACGCATGCTCAGTGGTTTAAGAGTTAAGCACTAGATGAGTCATCTAAAAGTCTTGGTTACTACCCCAAATAAGCTTTCGGATGAGCACTATTACAAAACTGCTGTCCTGTACTTCTCCATTTTTATTAGTTGCATAATTATGATCAAACTAAGAAATTCAGCAATCTCCTTAAACATTCAATGATAATAATTTTAAATTCATTCACATAAAAGTACCAACCATTATCGGCAAAAATCAACAATTTACTATTTTCTTTAAGAAGGGATAATGACCAGTCTCTATACATAAAAATTTAAAGGATAATATAAATAACTTTTACCACATATCAAACTAAGAGTATATTTATGATCAGTCACTGGGTATTTTTAAAACTTATGGTTTAAAATACAGTGACGAAACTGGAAAAAAGTTAATAAAACAAAAGATTATAGAGATTGTCTAACGCCAAGTTAGTTTTGTTTATGGAATTCTTGAACAGAACGAAACAAACAACGAATCCTTTCTGGTTTTCAACAATCCACAGGACAATGTAAATCTCAGATGTAATAATCTCCACAACCCTATACTGATGATTACCATGTTATCGCTAGTGACTAGCTTCGTGAGGGAATTCTCAGAGTTCTAATGAGAATCCGTGACCAGTGGAGGAGGTATCTACCTCAGTACAATGGAAGATTGTCGCACAACTTCGTGGATTGGTTGAAGTTAGACATTAACATCATTGGATGCCGGCTCAGTGGCCCAGTAGGCTAAGCGTTCTCTCACGAGACTGAAGGCCCTTGGTTCGAACCCCGCGAGAGGGATCGTGGATACGCACTGCTGAGGAGTCTCACGATAGGATGAAACGGTCGTCCAGTGCTTCCAGGTTTCCAACGGTGGCCTGGCATCAATCGGTTCATGATCTCAATCAAAATCTTAGCAATCTCCACAACTCCTAAACTGATACTTAACTTTTAGTTCAGGGATTCAGCATCTAGTGATTTACACATCTAAATTTGATCAATTCGGTATATTGCGTGATAGTCATTCATATTCACTGATATTATGTGTTTTATACCTGAAATGGTTGTCTAATTAAGATCAGTGGATGATATAAATTATAAACTTCAACAAACAATCTATTCTTTATATTTTTCATGTATGTTAAAGATATAAATAATTATGCATTATTTCAATGGTTGAGATCAAGTGTCAGTTGAAGCTAGCCCACCATGGAAAACTGACTCATGATCTCAACCATTGAAATTACTATAATATCCCCAAAAAGCCCTGAAATTATGCATTAGTTATCTATAAAAAAGTAATTCTTTTAGAAAACAAAAACACAGAAATCACTCTCTGTTCTTAACAAGAACTACTCTGTTAAATAAATAATCCACATTACTTCATGTCAGTAAATATCTAGGTGGAGTTTTATTCTTTAAGCTCGATGGTTTGATTGTGGAGCTTTCATTGTTTTTCTGAACAACATTATCAGCACAATCTTCAGGCAGTAAATAATTTATCATAATGAATCTCATATTCAAATTCAAATTCTAATAAACGAGGATTTGAAAATTTATTTTCTAATTAGTAATTACATTTATGAATATTTATTAATTCAGATAAGATGGTGGTTGGAGGTAGTAAACAGGAAACCCTTGACCCAGATTTCGTGCTATTTGACACTCGTCAGCAAGGTGTACTTGTAATGTTTAGGGAACTGGGTTAGGGGTTTCCTGTTGACTACCTTCAACCATCATCTTATCTCAACATAGTTCATGCAATATTGAGTCACTTAGACTAGTGGCCACATTGTAACTTGGTCGTTAGCATTCGATCATCCCTAAGAAGTACCTGACATGCATGACATTGCTCACTCGCCACCCAGTGGTCAATCAGTTGTGAATATTAATTAATTTTCAATTTATTTATTTCAATGAATGTTCAATGTTTATCGATTGTCGATTAAAATGATCCACTTTGATTATGTCTAATGACTTAATACATGCTAGAATCAAATGTTCTAAATAATTAACCGATAAACCACATCACAATTCAATTAACCTTTTCCCAATTATTGATAATATACAATGTATATAATAATTATTATTATAATTCTCTTTTTTTTGAAGAAACAATAAAAGAAATCGAAAGTCAACAACAATAAAATTAGAGGAGAATTCGACAATAAAACCATCTCGATTTATTCATTAATCGGAAGGTGAATAAAAGAAAAGTTTAATGAACTAGATCAAGTCGTCTTTTTTGTATTTTTCATTTATGCTCTCGTGTTAGCCTATTAGTCGTTTGTTTCTCATTCATACATTCATCCATGCATACCCCTCTAATACACACACACACACACTATCTCTTACATATGCATACACACACATATATGTATACGTATGTATATTTACACAATTCTTCTTCATATACCTTACATTTTCCTCATTGTTTCTCTTTCTCAAAGAAATAATAACAATATTAATCACGATCAAAATTTTCTCATCGAAATCAGACCCAAGAATTGAATAAATGCCATTTTTTGTTTGAAAATAAAAGGTGGTCAAAATAAAAAATTTTTAGGGATAAAAAAGAGGAATTTTGTAAAATAAATGAAAAACAATAAAATGTGGTCAGGTAAAAGGAATGGAGGTCAAAAAGAAGAAAATAAAGAAGGAAACGAAAGAAGAGACATAATAAAATGAAATGAATTTAGGTCAGTCGTTTATTGAATGTACATAAATGTGTATATGGAGTAAGAGAGAGGAGGAGAGAGAAATAAAATCAAAATTAAACACAGCTAGTTTCGTACATCTACGCATATGTAATATAAACTTAGGTAAAAGTTCCCTTGTAAACATTTCGAATTATGAGGTTAGTAATTATACAATGGAAAGTAGTATCATTTTAAAAGTATCAAATGTCATAAACTAAAATCAAGTTGTCAGTTATCATGAATCAAAGATCTTGGTTTATTACTCTACATGATACTAAACTAGATTAAACTCAAAGCCTGCGAAATATGTAGGAGACATGCTATTCTTTAGACCACTAGATTGAAATCCAATAGTTTATGATGATACTCTGTGAGTAGTGAAAATTATGAGATCGATATCGTTCAGAGTTTTGGAAGTACACTACTGAGTAATGTCAATCTGAACGAAAATGATTATACAATCTTATGTTTTCAATGGTTTTTCATTTGGTATCAATTCATGAGGAAAGTAGTTTTAAAATGTAACGTATTTTGTTCCCGATAACTGGATAACTTGAAATAATTTATCTATCATAGAAGCTGAAATCATCAAACTAAAAATTCAAGTATATTGAATAGTAAATATTAAGTTTCATCATAATCCGACTGAGTAACTAGATACATATTTATGCACTCAGTTAAAATAACACATCTTAAGTAAAAGCCATCAACACTAATAAATTATTAATACCAAAGTAATTGGAGTAGAACTTGAACATACAACTTAACGATTGAATGACGAATTCTCTGACCAATAGATCTTAGCACTTTATTTTTACCGAAAAGCTCTTTTATTTTTAATATCAGAAGGGGTTTCATGCATATTATAGTAGTTTTAATAGTTGAGATCATAAGTCCATTGAATCTAGACTATCATGGAAAACCTAAAAACACTAGGTGGCCGTTTCATCCTACTGTAGGACTCTTTTACTTTTTACTCAACTGTATAATATCTTCAACCAACATGTACATTCCAACTCAATTATCACTAAGGACTAGGTAAGTATGACAATATTTATTATTCAGTGATCTGTGAACTGAACACTTTAGTAAGAACATGATTATAGTGGTATTATACAAAAAATAGATTCAAATCATCAATTCCTTCATGATTATATACAAGACTTATTGATTAGCATCGATTATCTTTAAGTAATGATTAAAGAATGATTGTTTTTTTTCTTTTCTTTGAAGCTTTCAACTCTCTTATCATGTAAACATCTAACAATCTATAGATATAGTTACATCATATTCCGATTCCCTTAACTTACTATACATTCGAGTAAATAGTTTCTAATATAAATAACTTGAAAATATTCTTTCAAATAGAAATAAACATTTAAATTAAATTAAAAAAGGCAAATATTTTCAAACACACACACACACAAAGTTAGTTATTACCATCTGAAACGAATTCACGTAAAGTAAATAAACATTTCATGTTATCATTTCAATGGATGAATAGAGAACAATCTAAGTAAAAGAATCTAATCAACAACAACAACAACAAAATCTTGAATCATAAAAAGGGAAATTGTTTAATTAAAAAAAGAAAATTAAAACAAGAAAATTGGTTATAATGAAATGGAACATATTACGAAATTAAGTAGTAGATTGTTCTATTATTTAAAATAAATATTATATTAAATTAGTAATCCTCTGTTGTTGGTGTTGTTG